CTCGCACTCCTTTAACGCTACCCCCTGCCACATCAAGGCTTAGTGGGGGAAAGATAGCCAAAGGCTTGGCTGATATCAGCCCTGTTGCGATGCGCAAGAAGGTGGAAGCGTTTCTGTCAACGCGTTTTGACGAATTACGTCGCGTCAAAGACGCTATGGCTGAAAGCCAGGATGTTCAAAAGGAACACGCGGATGCCAAAGGCAGAAAGAATGAACATGAGCTCAAAGTGGGAGATTTATTTTATTAAACGCTAGGAATTTACCTACCCGTGCCGTTTCGGCGGTATATAAAACTAAATTACGACCACGCTTTATTGGACCTTTCAAGGTCATAAGCAAGAAAGGTTTAGCCTATACGCTGAACCTTTCAAAGAAGATGCGAGCACATCCTGTGTTCTACGTAAGCTTACTTAAGCTATATCTTAACCCTGCCTCGGTGGACTTCGAGAGCTTGTCTTCGAATCCCCGGCCGAAGGAGGCGCAACGGGGGTGCATATGGACGCTGAAGGCGTACCGAGAGATCATGGATCGATGGGTCCCGTCGCCAGCGTTGAATGATGAGCTGGGCCATCAACAGTTTCACGCCGAGCGTCTCTTGGCACGACTTCGTCATCAGGGCCACACCCAGGATCTGGTAAAGTGGACGGGGTATTCTCAGTCGTATGACTCATGGGAGTACGAGGTACCCCTACGGTAAGACTGCCCGGACGTCGGTGAAGCTTTTGATCGGAAAGATCAGAACCGGCGACAGCAGTCGCCGGATGCTTCCTAGCACTTAGTGCTGTGGAAGCAAGTTCAGTAGTTAGGCTTCACCTCTGACCTTCTTGGGGAGCAGTATCCGGTACCTCACTCGCGTGAAAAGTACTATTATCTGCTTCAGAAGCAAAGATTATGGCGTACATGGCTTTGTATATATAATACGGAAGGCGTAAAGACTTGGGGAGCTCAAAGAGAAAGTGGCTATAGCACGCTATGGCTCCATGAGCATGTGCTGGGCACTACGTTGCACTAAAATAAGTGTGAAACACTTAGCTGCTATGAGCACGCTTTAATCATAATGAAGCTTTAGAAGCAAGTTTACGACACTTTGGGGCTTTATTTAAGCAAGTGTGAAAATTTTTTGTGCTTTATAAGCAAAGTAACACTTAGGGGCTTTATATAAGCAAGTGTGAACACTATGAAGCTTTATCAGAAGTGTACAACACTTTGGGATTATATAAGCAAGTGTTTTAAGCACCTAAAGGCTTTTCAAAAGCAAGTGTTAAACACGAAGGTGCGTTACAGGCACGTGTTAAACAATTAGGTGCTTTGTAAGCAAGTGCTGAATACGAAGGTGCTTTAAAAGCAAGTGTTTAGCAAAAATGTGCTTTATAAGCTAGTGTTTAGCACTAATGTGCTTTATAAGCTAGTGTTATACACTATGGTGCTTTATAAGCTAGTGTTATACACTATGGTGCTTTATAAGCTACTGTTAGATGCTACGGTGCTTATACGCTAAAGTGAAGCGAAAATGTGCTTTATAAGCAAGTGTTGAACGCTTGGTGCTTAATAAGCTAGTGTTAGGCACTGATATGCATTGTAGCTAGTGTTCGACACTAATATGCATTATAAGCTAGTGTTCGACGCTAATGTGCATTATGAGCTAATGTTAACATTACGGTGCTTTGTGAGCAAGTGTTACACACTTATATGCTCAATCGCTTTTAAGCAAGTGTTTAAAACACTGAAATGCTTCAAAGCAAGCGCTAGGCACGTAATGCTGTAAAAGCAAGTGTTCGTGAACACACAAAGGCTATTTATAATACCAAGTGCTAGGCACTTAACGCTTATAAGCAAGTGTCGTAACACTTAATGCCCTAGCGTGAGTGCGATGCACTGTATGCTCAAAGAGCAAATGTCGTAACACAAGGATGCTTATAAAGCGTGTGTGCAATGAACAGGTGCTCAAAGAGCAAGTGTTAAAGCCGCAGGAGCTTTAGACGCAATGCAAGCACTTATTGCGAGGCAAGCAAAATGAGAAGAAAATGAAATCGATGCCTCCAATCAAGTGCGAAAATTCGTGGGTACGTCGGGTCCCACGGATTGGTGGGGAGGGTGTAACGGGTTTACACGAAGGTGTGTATTGTACATACACACCTGCCACACCAATGTGGTGTGGCTGTACCTTGGGTACAAAAGTAGGTGATGTGACCGTACCTGAAGTACGAAGGGTCGCATCGTGGCAGAGAGCCACGTGGTCACTATACTTATTTAAAGTATAGTGACTATGCATGTCTGCATAATAATAACAGGCTATAGAGCCAGTAAATATTGACTAGCACTAAGTATAGAGTAGGTGCTTCTATATTTAGTGTTAGAAGATAAACATAAATATAAATCAGTTTCAAACTTGCTCTGTAAGCCTTACAGCTTGAGCATTCTATTCCTTCTAACGAATCAGTATCTTTGATACTAGTCTCTCTGAGATTCGGTTACAACAACCGATAGGCACAAGCTTACAAGCTAGATTAGGAGGTTATGCACCCTAAGACGTAGAAGCTCTTTGAGCTTGCCTACCTCTGCACATAGTGCATACGTTGCTTTGCTACAGTAGTCTGACTACTTCTTCTGGCATAAGTAGCGTAGCTACAGTAGCTCGGCTACACCATCTCTCGATATCCCGCTGCCAAGAATTCTAATGGCGCTTGCGTGCAATTGTAAAATGTTTGCGCCAAGTTTGTATGCTGCTGATCATTTATCTCGTTCTATATTTCTAGTATTTACGAACTGAGCGAAGGCGTGGTTTACAGAAATCCTATGAACAACAGCTTGTCTTGCCAAAACGATTCAAAAGCGAATCTGCTCAGTCCTTCTGATTTTTTAGATGGCGAGAAAAGTGGTAATGAAGACTCGAACGGTAGCTATATGGCTTCGACCATTTCATGGACGTGGAAGTGTCCCAGTGTCTTACTGTTCGTGAGTTTTTTTACTACCGCAGTACGTCAGTTAGTCAGAAAGATGGATTGACAAGTACTTTGAAAGGCGTGGCCCCAATTGTTTAAGATGACACCATTAACGGCACGAGTAACGTAAGCAACCAATGAGAGTAACGAGTTGATACGGCATCAGTACCTGTACCTGCTCGATATCCTACTTGCCCGTCCGACGACTCGTACAATTAAGACAGGCATGGGGTCGTTCTGGACCCTCACGCTTGCGTGGTTTTCAAATGATGGGGAAATTCATGGGCAAAGTCGTCGGTTGTGGCATTTCTCGAGTCGGCCACGTGGACTGAAGCATCTTGCATGTTGGCAAATCTTACAATCACAACCAAAGCACAAAAAGGAATAAGACGAGTGGTAAAAAAAGGTCGTGGCACAGAAGATGGTTATGCTGACAGCAAGTGGTATCCTTGAGTCACGCAGCCGTTGAAGTGTTGTTACCACATGGAGAAAAATAGAGCGGAATGGATTTGGTTTTTGAAATTGCAAAGGCAGAGCTGGCGTCAGCTACATTTAGCGATAATTGAGAGGACTCGTAGTGCAAAAAGGTCAGGTGTTCTGATCACATAAGGATCACTTGATGTGGCTCACTTTTTCGATTGTGGAGATGATGACACGGCTGAAATAGCGCGTAACGTTCGTATAAAGGAGGAAAGAGCTTGTAAGGTGTTGACAATATCAATAAGCGATGTTATGCTGTCTTAGAGCCTTCAAAAGCGGGTGAAGAAACCCCCCGTTGTCACATCCATAGCTTTTAGTCATCGTAACGTCCAATCCCAGCGCTTCTATCATCAGCATGCTAGATGTGATGTTTTTATGCCGTCACCCCATATGTGCGAACGAAGCGCCAAGCTGTAGATGGTTCTCACTGTTATTACCCGAATGGAACGCTTCAAACCACACAATGTCGCGCGCAATCACATGCAAACCACCACGACAATTTTGGTTCCCATTCCTTCTGCTATGATTCTACTGCTTCATCAGGCAGTCGAATATGGACACTGCCATCGTAAACAATGTGACGTCGCTAATAATAATAGATTGCACATTCGTTGTCACAAAGACGGTGACTGATGGCAAAAGTTGACTACCCGTCATCCCTGTCTTGCCTTCCTCATTTTCGCTGTTGCGCTGAAATATTGATAATGCTTTCATTGTAGTTTGAACAAGCTACAAAGATCAAGTTAACTATGTCTGCCGCTCAAGATGTTGCGTCATTGGTAAACAACTTATTAAGTCCTCTCGGATATCCAATTGCATGGCTACCATTAAGTTTGACATCAAAGACGTTGCGAACGCCTTTTCAAATTGAAGCGTGCAGAGCTACTTTATCCAGGAGAGTTTTCATCGACCCGGACTATTAATGGCTCAGCGTCTACTACGCTGAAATTGCATTAGAGAGTGGTGTTTTTATGCAGTTTGCAGTGAGCGTCAGTTTTTTGTCAGGATAGGAAGCAAATCTGAATCTACGCGCAAGGCGGCGTTGCTCCGATGGTACTTTGCAGATCGAAGTTAAATACGCCTCTGTTTAATTTGATTGCTCTAATGCGTGCTACAGTTAGCTAAGTAGGTTGCATTTACAGTACAGTGTTGCATGATATGAGGACTTGTAGATTGCAATACCATCTCGTATTTAGCAAAAAGATAGTATGTGTAAAAGTACAAACGCTTGAGGAACAAGCGTCTGTTCGTAATCAGCATTCATTCTTTTTGGTTCGCAAAACGTTGTCTCATGGGATAGAAAAGGCTGATGCTTTTGAGTAGTCAAAGTATCAGATTGTGATGATGCTTAAACACTAATAATCTCAGAACTAATAGTATCTCTTGTTTTCTGTAAAATACTATGCGTTTGCTAAGGGTATGGTTTCTTCGATTTATCTAACAAAGAAATTCTTTCTATTGTTTTATAATCCAATTATTACCTTACAAGTGAAATATTCTGCTACAATTCTACTCACAAGAATTACTATTTTTTATCATAGAATATTCTTAGCAATTCAAGTATCAACTAACTCACGGATGGAAGGAATGACGCTTAAAACATGGCAATTAGGCAAGAAGATTGGATCAGGAGCATGTAGTGATGTGTATACAGGTAAGTAACTAACTTCATTCCCTTATCACATACTTCCTGACTCTTTTTCTTTCTTATTCTTGATATTTTTATATAGTAAAATCTGTAATCCCTCTGAAAAATGATAATAAACATCAATATGTCATGAAACTCTCTCCCTTACCACATTTAACAGCTGCTAAATTGAAGAATAAAAAGAGAAGAAAGACAATAGAAGAGCGTAGTGTGGATGCTTTATATGCTGAACATTTACTATACAAAAATTATCTTCAAGATCAATGTCATATTCCATATTTACCAGTAGGAGCCTATGGAGAAGATCAGGTATGAAGGTGTTTAGAAAATTAATATTTTTAGTCTATGATATAAGAAACTAATTGTATGATACTTACTATTGTTACTACTGTCTGTTGACGATAGGGATACCGCTTTCTAGTGATTGAGCGGCTTGGACGTACGCTTGAGATGGTGTTACAAGATCAAGGACCTATTCCGTCAAAAACAGCAGCTCGACTTGGTCTAGAAATTGTAAGATTTACGTGATTGAAAGTGCAGGAATCAAGTAGATGAATGGACTAAATTATACATTTGTTTGGACGCTTTGTGGCTTCATTCCGGAATTTTTAGCTAGAGACGTTGGAGCAAATGCACGTAAAGAATATTCTTTACGTAGATGTTAAGCCTGAAAATTTAATGCTGGATATGGATAAGGAAAACAAAGTGTACTGCGTGGATTTTGGCATCTCGGATCGCTATGTGACGGCAACAGGCAAGCACAAAGAGTATAAGACAGGGACAGTGGTGGGGACGCCAACGTTTCTCAGCATTAATTGCCACAATGGTGTCAGTACGTTGGCTTGTTTGTTTTTTTTTGTTTTCTGTGTGTATGTACAAGTGTTTTACTCTTATATGTATGCAGCTTGCAGTCGTCGAGATGATGTTGAGTCACTGTTGTATGTGTTGGTCTACTTGATGCGAGGCGACCTTCCTTGGCAGAAAGCATCAAGTGATGTCGAAGGTGCCAAGATCAAGAAAGCTACTTCTGTTGAGCAGCTGTGTGCTTCATTGCCTCGAGAATGGAGTGCGATGCTGACGAAAATCCGTGCGTGCGGCTTTGAAGATCGGCCAGATTATGATTTCTATGCGCAGCATTTTACGAAGCTAGGAGGTCAGAAAGGCTTGACTACGCCATTTGTGTGGGGCACTCGCAAGACTGGCAAGATGGTACGTGTGTGGCTGTGGACGATAGAACACATTGATATACTGCTACAAGATCTATCGACTAATGATGCCATTGTTATGCTACGAAGGCCAGTAAGGTTACCCTATTACAAGGATCCTCTTCTGACAACCCCGAGTGCAAGCGCATCAAAAGTATGGACGAAGGAATGACTGCACGTCCACTTGGGACTACCAATATAAAGAAGACAGCTCCTCCTGAGAAGAAAAAAACGAGACCTCGCTACAGCAAAGCGCCTGCAAAAGTTGCGGCACTCGGCAACGACATTACACCGAAAGCTACCACGAAAACAGGCAAAAATCATGAAGATGGTCTAGTTGAACACGTAAACGTACTACCAAAAGACCGAGAGGTTTTCAAAGCTATTGCAAGTCATGCTGCTGCCACCGCCGCTGTGAAGCGGTATAGCTTGCGTTCAATGAATCGTGAGTAAACCAATTGACAGGACAAAGGAGAGTCAAGTTGCAAGTCTCTCCATGCACAAACAGATGAATACAATTGGTTTTTGCCATTACTTTTCATTCTTTGATTTGAATGCAATGACTGACCGTGATGCTGCTGCGTACATGACATATGAGCTACTGCGAACACATGGAGATCTGGGTACGGCAGAGACACATAAAGAGATACTAAAGACACTAAGCTCCGTAGAAATTAATAGCCAGACCGCTGCCGTCTTACAGCGTCTCCACGCGACAGAATTTGGTCCGTTAGAGTGCATGATTGGCTGTCTAGTGATGTTAGGAGGTTATTATTTGATGCATTCTTTTGGTGCAATTTTACAGCTTTAGTGCGAGGAAAAGAGCACCGAAAGCAGAAGAATCAAGTGTCTGTGAGACGAAGTCAGTTGCGGAGTAAGTGGAGACGTAAACAGCATGAGACGTTGCAGAAAGGAGCAACAATTGAGGACGTCCAGCGCCGTTTTCCCAAGCTTTTTCAAGGGGCAAGACAAATGCTGCAGCTTGTAGACACCAGAAGGTGTTGACTGACGAAGTTTCACGTGCTTGTTGTATTGTCGTGTAGCAGGTAATGGACGAGCAGATGAAGTACAAGAAACAAGATGCAAAAGTCCATAAAGATGGCAATGTGTCGCGGCAATCCCAAGGAATTCTCGATCCACTAATACTTTCTGGAGTGGATACTGCCACGATTACTCCTCCACACGTGTCAGCGATGGTGGGCAAAAGCAAGAACGACTTCAATGTCACGGACAACGTGTGGAACAAATCGACACAGGTCACTGGTTCTTCAATGCCTAACAAGCCTGTAACTCAGTCCAAGCCAGCTCTAAGTGATATGCTACATCAAAGATCACGACTGCCTCATGAAGATCCAGAGTTGTTCGGTATTGACACGCCTCTCAATCCGACACAACAGCGGAATTTGTTTCAGACTGCTTCTGAACGACTTCAGGTAAAACGCCGTTTACCGCTGCAAACGTAGGTATTGCGTACATCTGTGGCTTAGGTGTTTTGTGCGTAAAGAACAGCATGATCGCATGACAGGAAAAAGTAGAAATACTGATGATGGACAGCCAAGGAGTAGAAATGGACGACGTGGACAGCCTCGGGGTCCTCCTCGTGGGGTTTATCACCCTGTCAATCAAGACCTTCTCCTTGGCGGGAGCGAAGCTACTGACAATGTCGGATACATATCTGGGCCAACAGCAATCAGTAAGAAGTTTGTGTCTTCAATGAACGACCGGAGTGCGAGCAAATGGTAAGTTTAATCTACTGTTTGTTGTAGACAGTCAACAGGTTAACATTTAGTTGGTGTTTAGCAGTAATAAGCAAGACGATCGTCACGATGCGGACATGGAGATCGATCCACGACTTAAGAGCTGTGACTCCGAGCTGATTGAGAAGATTGAGATGGAAATTGTTGATAATGGAGACCCGATAACGTTCGATGATATTGGTACGCACATCCTAACTACTTCCTCTTGATAGCCGACAGCAAGTATGCTAACGTTGCAGCGTGTACATTTTTAGCTGGACTGCAATTTGCCAAGAAGTGCGTGAGCGAGCTGGTTATTTGGCCGATGCAGCGGCCAGACATCTTTACTGGTCTTCGTTCTCTCCCAAAAGGTGCATTGGACTGCACACTGCTAAGGGGCTGGTGATGTTAACTGCTAACGCGGGGATTCCTATGCAGGCTTGCTGTTATTTGGACCACCGGGTACAGGCAAAACCTTGATCGGCAAAGCCATAGCAAGCCAGTCTGGTGCGACCTTTTTCAATATCTCGGCTAGCTCATTAACGAGTAAATGGGTATGATGCAGCGCTGGTCATGTTGCTCATGACATTCAACTAATAAGCTGTTCCTTGTTTGTCGTCACTAGATCGGCCAAGGGGAGAAGCTTGTTCGAACACTATTTGCTGTCGCAGCGGTGAAACAGGTATGGCATTTGGTTTTCATGCTTATGCCTTTACTTACAACTACTGTTTGATAGCCCTCCGTTATCTTTATTGATGAGATCGACTCGCTGTTAACGCAACGAAGGTATGTTGACATCCAATTACCTGCCCACCTTTCCTACCGTAGTGGTGCCTTACTATTCTTTGCTACAGCTCGGAAGAGAATGAAGCAAGCCGACGAATGAAGACTGAATTTCTGGTGCAGCTTGACGGTGCTGGCACCAAAGCAAAGGATATCATTCTTGTTGTTGGTAAAAGATGTCATGAACAGCATTGATCACATGTGATTGTATATACGAGGCTAATATGGCATAACTTGGTTTTGTAGGTGCAACAAATCGACCACAAGAACTTGATGAAGCAGCACGTCGGCGATTCGTGAAACGTTTGTACATTCCACTTCCTTCGCTTGAGGCTAGACTGGATTTGATTAGCAGGTTGCTCAAGGACAACAAGAATGACCTGACAGACGAGAACCGGGTTTTCATTGCCGAATCCACTAAAGGTTGGTGACAGGGAATGTTACTTTCCATTCGACACGAGCCCGAGATGTATTGCTGAAATTGGATGGCATGTTGACTACTGCAACAACAGGATACTCTGGTGCAGATGTCCGAGCACTATGCACGGAGGCTGCGATGGGTCCCATTCGAAATTGCACCGATATTCGCACGATGGATGCCAATTCTGTTCGTCCTATTATCTTAGACGACTTTATTGAGGCATTGCGAGGGGTACGTATGATTGTGTGGGTGCAACTGAAGATCATACATGTAATTACATCTCTTTTTTCCAGGTCCGTTCCAGCGTCGCGACAAAGGATCTTGCATTTTACAAAGAGTGGAATGAAGAGTTCGGAAGTTTTGCTTTCGAGAGCCACGAATCTTCTTGAATTGAAAACGCACAAGTCAAAACACAACATAGCTCGCATGTGTGGTCAATGTTTACATTAAAAGCCTTCAAATGCTCCAATCTGGGTTTTTACTGAAAGCCGAAGAGGGGAGGTAGCTCCAAGCAGTCTCCTAAAATCTCATGATAAGCTAATAGCGGACGTAGGTGCATCAATTTTGGTAAATAAAGGTTGAATCCAGGGAGGTAGCGCTGCACGGTAAACTCAGGTACCCGGGGATAAGTAGTCGGGTTCTTCGAATGGCATGTTTAGTCTTCGTCGCTTCGGTATCGGCTCCGAGGAAGACCCGACGTTGCGAGTTGATGCCCGCACAATAGTCAGTGCCATCGATGGGCAGCTTTCAATCTCCTCACGAAAGTTCTCGTCGTCCACAATTTCGTTTGTGTGAGCCAGAAAGAAAGCAAGACAGTACTCTTTCAAATATGCGGCGTTGAACTTCTCCGCGGCGCAAAGGAATCGTCCGACATTTCCAACGGACAAAACATCCTTCGCTGCAACCTCGCATAAGTGCTTTAGTGGCAGTAGCAGATACTGCTCTGACAGGGTTAGCAAATCAACGAGTTGCTGCACAGCATAGATACACGAATCAAACGCACAAAGTCAGCTTATCACCACAGACTTATAAATTGAACACCACAGCTCATGTACGTTAGAATTTAGCTTGGCCATATCCAAGACGCGGTTTGTGTAGATGAACTCAAGCATCTTAGACACCATCTCAATCGAGTGATCTTCAATGCGAACGACCCCGTCCTCGCTTTCTCTCATAGCCCCACGGCGAAACATGGCCTCAAAAATCTCGCATCTTGTCGTAAGGATCAGACGATGTACACGTAAAATCTCTCTGTCTGGCCCAACCTCTAGCGTCACATCACTCCCAACTCCGTTCTACAGACAAATAAACAATGATTTGCAATCAGTCACAAAAACTGCAACAAACATAAAATGCTGGATCGATCTACCCCATCAGTACTTTACGTACCAGGAAAAGCTCCCTCATCGTTGCAAAATACGCTTCATCATTGTGACTTGGTAGTGTCAGGGTCGTCATTGCTACACGATGTCGCACTAGTATAATATCATTCTATCATTCCCATCCAATGAATAGAAAAAAACAGTTAGCAAGACAACCTCTTAGCAATATCCTTCTTCTGTCCTATTACCTTTTGTAAATGCACTGATTCAGGTGAATCTTCCGGGTCCAAACAATTCTATCCATACATTAAAAACAACAAGAGCTTGTTCAATTCTTCTTGTTCTTTCTTCTCTCTCTCTCTCTCTCGCTCTTCTTTTTCTTCTTCTGTTCTTGTTTTCTGTTGTCAAAAATAGCGCTAAATTCCTACCGTAAAGAAAAAATCAAGAGATTCTCGTGGTAATCCGTGATGTTTACTATAATGACGAAAGAGGGAAGAAAATCGCTGTGTCTTCTGCATAAGACATGAATACATATTATTGGCGGAGACCCGCACAATGGATCGTTCTTTTCCCGTTAGCACCAGATCCTCTGCGGCCTAATCATAACAATAACAATAATTGTTAAAAATTATTTCATAACAATAATAATTATAATGATTAATAATAATAATAACATGATATCAAAAAATGTCGAAATTGTTTGGAAAATAGCACAGATTAATTGTATCACGTGTATGTGTTTACCTTGACAGTGAATTCCACATTCTCAGGACGTACACTACGGTTCATATGGATATTTATAAAGCGACTATATAAAAGCTTTGTCGTCTTGTCGTCAACACCTCACAATACCGTGGATAGAATCGTCTTAAGAAGAGCTCAAAAGTACCGATCACTTATAATGATTAAGCCTTTCGCATGCGTTATTTAATGGGTAAAAAGTAATACATGTAAGTTATATTAAATTTCAGAGAGATAGAAACTTACCCAAAAGCAAACGTGGTTTCTAACACTTGACAACCCTTTACTCGTTTCTAACACTTGACAACCCTTAACGCGTTTCTAACACGTGAACATTCTTTACGCGTTTCTAACACGTGAACATTCTTTACGCGTTTCTAACACGCAACAACCCTTTACGCGTTTCTAACACAATATAACCCTCAACTAGTTTCGAGCACATGAATACCTAATGTACTACGATCCCATTGCCGCGTTTCCACGACATAATCCGTCCCTTCAAAAACCTGATCCACTGCTTGTGCGACATTCCAAATAATTCGACACCGTCCTTTCACAATATGGTCCAATTCAACAATAACATCAAATATCGGATTTCCAGCTCGCTGTGTCTGTAATTTGCTCTTGTGTGACGCTTTCGCTGCTGCATCACCTACAGTCACTTGCTGTGAACCACCTACTAACCCCTTTAGATCAGGATTCTTAATCAATGCTTGAAAATCGCCATGAGCACTTGCAACCAATCGTGGGCCACGCTGACGCACCGTTGATGCAGCTAAAACTTCAGCTTTTCGACCAATTTCGTCCACAATTAACGTCTCGACTGTATGATTCTGCACACACTCAACCATTACACTTGCTTGTGCCTCTAACGAACAAACCATCATGCGTCGGGCCCATCCAACACATGCATGTGGTATTAGACCATCCCCACCAATTTCATTCGACGTATCAATGATGCACACGTTCTCCATCGTGTCTGCCACACACCTCGCTATATCTCGAATAAGCGTTGTTTTGCCAGAGCCTGGATGGCCCAATACCAATACTGACTTGTCAGCGTGACGCGCACTCAATAGTAAATCGGTCAATACGCATGCCGCATTGCGCAGTGCTCGACCAACGCGCATGGTGAGGCCATACACTTCGCCACTTTTGCTCCGCATGACAGAAATACGGTGCAATTGGCGGTCAATACCTGCTCGATTGTCACTTCCAATCCGCGTTTCTCCGCCAATATTTGTCAGGATCTCGTCGATTGTTTCTTTTGACACGGTGGTGCCGTTTGTACTGAGTTCAATACGCTGTTTCTTGCCAGTATACGCAAAAGGAACGCGACCGGTATCGATACAGATATCAACCAGGTCGTGGTAATTGCTGAGGGCGAGAATGGCACGTTTAAATGATGCAGGTAGAAGATTAAGCAGTGGCTCGAGCTCACATTCGAGCTCAAGCTTCGGTACTGGAACTCCCGTAGCATTGCCAAGAGTACGATAAAACAGACTTTCGAGACTGCGCGGCTGGTGATAGAGCTCAATGTCAAACCAAATTGCCCGCTGACCCTTGTTCGTGACGGCAAATTCCCACCGAGCGCTTGTCATCGCTGCACAAACTGCTTTGGCTGACCGCTTCGATCGATTTTCTGCGTAACAGCTCGCATATAACTGCGCGGTTTGAACTAGCGATTGCTGCAGCTTCTTGGACAACGACGATTTAGCCCCATTTTTTGAGCGCACTGAAACAGTTTTCGCCTTGAAGGAGCACACGCTCTGCGCAAATTTCGTGGCAAGGTCTGACGAACAGCGGTTGACGATCTGAAGGATACTCGCATTGAACACAGTCTCGTCCACTGTGCTTTCAAACAGCAGCTGTAGGTCGACGCAATTTGCAAGCTTGGGGCTCTGTAAGCCAAAGTCATAAAGCCAAAATGCGGCCCGGTGGATACTGTGCATCACTTTGCTGACTGAAGAATCTTCTAGCAACGTCTTGAGTCCTCCGATCACACGGCTTCTGCTGAGGGAAGCCAACACCAGCAACACTGAGACTTCGTCAGATGCACAAGAGGCGATAACGATTGCTACCGCTTGGTCGGGCTCGTTCCGGTCAACGTACGGCCCTGCAAACTCGAAGTGCACACCAACTGATGTTACTCCAGGAGGAGCAAACGAGTTTTTGTTCTTGTCGAGAAAACTCTGGAGCTCCGATTCTTTTGTGATGAGCATCATTTGGTGTTTACAATTCTGCGTTTCTTGCATTTTGCTACCGCTACGCCCGTTGCCAGTGAAAATATGTTGTTCTGGTAAAATTTCTCACGTATTTTCTCCAATCAAAGTTACTTGAAAGCATGATTCTTTGCCAACTGCCGGATTGTCACGTCCCTTTCCAGCATTCATTGCGACAAGACATCCTTCATCAGTCTAGAATTCGCAGAGAAAAATGGATCGCTCTTACTCTCTGGTGTTTAGCAACATGAATGATTTCGCAAAGTGGGTGGTGGCCAAGGCCTTAACTAACAAGGTAGTACTACATCTTGCTAATCCCACCTTGTATCGAGACGAGCTGCTGAAGTTTGCAGGAGTATGGCCAACGGCACGTTTAAAGACGCTCGATGAAGCATACAAAAGCAACACGGCTTTCCAGCATGTAAAAGATGACATGAACGAGCGAATCTGTACTCTGCGGACACAACTGGCATCGATTATCAATCCATTGTTCTCTGTCAACGCCCAAGCAAAACCAGGCAAGCGCCACACGGCTGTGCAAACACTCAGAGCATTCGTCGGCGAGCTCCAGCAAAATAAGAATCTGTGGTCGAATATTGATTCACCCACCAAGTTCACCTTGGCACTGCCACTGCGCAAAAAGCCCGAGATGCGGCAGCTTGTACAGTTGCTAGGACAGGATTTTAAAACCGTTTGGAGTGATGCTGTTGAACGGGTGTTCATATTGATGCAAGGGGAGTCTGAAGGTGCAACGACAGTAGGTGGGCCATCTGCATTGCAAGAGTCGTACGCGCTAGCGCGTGACCGTATTGTTTCTGAGAATTTTCAAGCTTTACTGAAGCAGTGGAGTAGTCAGAAATCGGTGCGTCATTTTACGCTCATTCCAATATATCGGAATGGAAGCGTTTGCTGCCAAGTCGAAGAGACTTTGTCAACGAGGTCAACGGCGTTTGAGTCTACGCGGGATAGGGGCAAACGTGCGACTGGAGCAAAGACGAATAGTAGAGCGCAGCGCACGAATTTAGTGCTTGAAAGACTCGAACGGACAAAGACCAAAGACCTCGATGCACGTCTCAATTTCTCAGGCGTCAGTGATAATCTATCGCTGCTACCAGCGAAGAACACCAACGGAAAATGTGACGGCAGCTACTCGTCAGGCCCATTTGGTGCAAACATTCTCAAACTTCGACGTTACTTTGATTGTTCGCAAAGCCACAAATGGTAAAATGTTTGGCATCCTTTCGAGGCGGAAGGAATATTGATGTTTGTTCCATGTCGTCCAAGTCGTTTTTTAACTTAATAAGTTTCTTGTTTTCAGCTTGCCTTCTCATACGTCTCATATATGATTGTTTAGACTGTATGTAACTTGACAAGGCACTCATTCCTTTAGGGTAATGGCCGCATACCGCCTGATACATGTCTAGAACTTGCGCACGCTCCACGCATTTGATGACATTTCATCACGCAATCTTCGATCGAAATTTGTACTTGCTGACGAAAAAGCCGAATAAAAATATTTGGAGTATTCCTCAACTTATCGGCAAGGCAAGCCATTATCTCGATTCGGGTCGGTACGTGTGGCTCCGCCAGTCGAAGGCAAACGCTTCTTTGCATAGCCACCATTTTTCCAAACAAGGAAAGGCCTCACAACAAAATTGAAATGGAATACTCGATTGTTCGACAAAAAATCCGCAAAATGTAGACTCGATTATCATGGACATTGTACCACGAAATGCGGCTTGTTCAGGTACAACGAAACGCAAGCGTACAGGAAGCAAGCGTACAGGAAGCAAGCGTACAGGAAGCAAGCAAGCTGAACGCAACAATTAGCGTCGTATCCGTGGCCACTTGGCACGCCGTAACTCAAGATTTGTTGGTGAAGATTCGTTGTGCCAGTCGCATGTCGTGGACGTAGATGGAAATCGCTTATCATGGGGGTTTGTTAGCTCTGGTGGATAATGTGCCTTATGCTTTAGCTTCTGCCTTAACTTCTTCGTGACGGTGGGGCTCGCATCTCATCGGAGTCTTGTCGCACCGACGGAATACCGAGCGGACATCAGTGAAAAAGTTGGCTGAGGAGAAAGCTGAAGAACGTGAGAAAGTTCCAGGTTCTGGATGCGTTGGAAGCAGTGCTTGCACCGAGGTTACGCAGCACTTTGCCATTGTTCGCCTAGTCGTGCCAATCAATACCTCAACTGTGACCATTCAACTTCACGACAAATCCAAGCACTACTGCGCAGCTCGAATGATTCAGTGTCTATACGTGTGTGTTTTGGTTGCACTCATAGCCAACGTAAGTCAATCCTCAAGACAACACGATGGCGACTAAATCCGTTCTTTTTGCTGCGACGCCTGACAGCACGCAGAGCAACAACAAGTTTCTGCTGCAGAGCCGACGACACACAAGCTTGATCTGGCAGCCTGTCACGCAGCTACCCAACAGTACAAGACAATGCTGCAGCTTCTGGACCGTTGCAGGTACAGGATGGTGCTTACACCCTTCTAGCTCACAAGCTGCTTGAGCGACCAGCAGAAAGCAGCAACAGAAACTATCATTACAACTGCATGTTCTCAGCAAATTCTTGCAGCAGCTGTAGACCAGACCAAAGTAAGCTCGTTGACGCGCAAAGTCGAAAGTTAGTCGAAAAACTAGCGGTGTAGACTGCAAGCTGTTGATAAAAAGCTGCAGACGAGCCCGACTCCGTGTACATATAAAATCAAGAGAGGGGCTGGACTAGCCTGTAGTAAAAAGGAGCTTGAGCCAAGACAAACAGGGGCTTATAAATGACCCCGTTGACTCCGCCAGAAGCAAATGCCATTGTTGCATTTAATAGGGGGCTCATAATACTCGGTTGACGGACACGCGGGAGGTGAGAGACGACAATTTCAAATGCACTTGAACATAGCAGAAAGGCACCGACCCGTCCGCCGCTGCTTGAGTCGAACCTCCGACAGGAGTACAGCTAATTAAGCAAAGTGGCAATGGCGTACGCGCTCTTGCCGTTGCCGTTGGACAACATCGAAGAAGACAAAGACGTGGTCTGCTCTACCTTGACATCTGACTGGTCTTTGGCAAGCGATAGCAACGTCTCCACCACGTGTGGATGCACGAGAGCATTTGTAGTTGAAGCAACTGCATCAGTGGATGCTATATCAACAGCGGATGGTGGCGTCCGGTCTCCTGTCAAGTGATAGGCACAGAATCCACCCTTCTTTGCGCGAGCCGAGCACCACGTAAGGCTACAGCGTCGTCCACCCCCATGGCTGTAGCATAGCCCACCACTTTCAGAGCTGCTTTTGCAGCCACCAATACGGCATCGCCGTCCACCTCCATGGCGTTTACAGAGATCACGACTTACGGCGCCATTGTTGCAATTATCCACTCGACAGCGACGACCCCCACCGTGACTATAGCAGAAGCCACGACTGCGTGAACTGTTATTGCACATGGGGAAGTCACATTTCTTTGGAAAACACGTACGCTTGTTTTGTGTTGTTGCATTAAGACGATGATTTTGACGCAAATCATTTAAAAGAGGTAGAGATAAGATCAGTAATTTGTTGCTCGGTGTCCATGTCTTATCTTGATTCAAGACCACTATAGTCGATGCATTATTATAACAAGGTGGTGGAGGTAGCAATAATCTACGTATAGGTACTGTTGATACTGAAGGCTGCTCATGAAAAAGCGCTGTGTTAGTAGATCCACTAGAAGCAGTATTGAGTGATGACAGAGGTAGTATCGTATCTTCAGTTAAAAGTCTCGTTTGTGGCGGTGGTGCTTGATGGTGTAAGAGGTAAATCCACGTGCTTTGATGCTTTTCAAACTCAATACATTGTTTTGTACGCATAATAGACAAGGCAATAGATAAAGTAAGTGAGTGAGGACAGGGTGGGGGGGGAGGGTCTTGTATAAAAGGTAAGTGTTTGTTTGATATTGAAAAAAACGCTTGGAGATGAGTTTGCTAATTACCAAATGAGTTTAAAAAACGGCATAAGAACGACTTCTACTCAGAATAAGTAAATTTATGTCAATACAGATTAGATAGAAAATAGAAAAGCCATGAAACACTTGCTGTGTATCGCAAAGGCAGCAAAACCAGGTGATAAACCAAAAGCATTCCTGCATTATTATAAGCAACAGGAGGCAAAGACGAGTACCAATTACAAATTCATGACCATGACTGATGCTCATAGCTCTCTAGTGATTTTTTACTATGCTTGACATGATAGAGCTATCAATCATGTCCAACGATGCCAACTTTGGGCCTTTTGACACAAAGAACTTACTGCTCGATCCTTTGGAGATGAGCTAGCATAAAAAGACCAGGGTTCGATCGGACGCCTCATTGTTTTTTTAAACATCTCCAAAAAGAACACTTGCGCATTAGTTTCAGATACATACAAAAATCAAGTGAAATGCTTCCACTTCAAGCAAATCTAACGAGTGACACTCTTGGACAACACCTTCGTCTGCAGCAACGAATGTAGCAAGTCAGTCACCTTCTGCGTCTGTAAAGCCAAATGTTTCTCCGCCATTTATTTGTTCTTCTCCTGCCTTCCATCAGCTGCGAGGGTTAATGAGCTCACACCCATCTTTGTAGTTACTGCATTAAAAAAATCGTAATTTGAATCGTTTGCAATAAAGTTAGCATTACCACATAACGACACATGTTGCTTCGCGCGCGGCCTTTTATTCTTTTCAATAGGCTTTTTTATAGCAGGTCTACATTGAACGTAACTTTAGTACAAAATACAAAATGCTACTACTTTACTACAAAACGAAAGCAGATTGAGTTTCAATTCAATGTCATGGAATAAAGATTGGTACGATGTCTCATTCAGACTCGATCAAAATATTGGTACAATAGGCAAACCAACCTTCCACCGAATGTTGCCTTTGTTTTGATAAGACAAACTATTCCTATGGTTTTGCAAGTAGTATACTTATTATGTCTTTGTCGCCATGACCGAGGACGCAGCCGCGAAAAGGTTTGAGCATTAATGTTTTTTTCGAAAAAAAGTTTGATTGCAGGATGTACGTGTTGCGTACAGACTGACTCTGGGGGCAAATAGGAAACGTGGATATTCTTTATGAACGGGCAGAGTGGCTCGACAAAGGAGTGTAGCAAGGAATTAGACGAGCAAGGAAAAGCGAAACGAATGCACCGCACTGTTTTTTGAAGATGGTAAGGTACAAGATATTTGCCTCTAACGAGAGCTCTAGAGCGCGCCGTTGATGGTATTTGGCGATTCATCCAGCCTCGAGTAAAAAAGTGGGTCAAGCGCACAAATTTCTACGTTTGTGAGTGACAAAATGCACATGCAATTCAATTCCTGTGTAGAAGGGCAGGTCGTTCGTTACAAGGACATTACAATAAACAAAAGCGAAAACGCAAAAAAAGAAGGGTTTATGACATCAACACAGTCCCTACTAAACTTTTTACAACTTGCACTACTAACCGATCGAAGCTCGCTGTTTGGAACGAGAAATCACGAGCACTATCCCGTCTCAATGTCCTGCTTGATGTCATCATCAAGTTGATCTTCCATACTTGATGGCCGGTATTTTCTTTTTTAACGACCGCGCCTTGACCAGCAATATGATAGTTTTATCTTCTGGCATGGCATTGTCTGTCGAACGCGTTTTGCTAAAATTGATCAGATTCTTAAGCTCTTCCGTCTTTAAAGATCCAATTATGAAATCCCCAAAGTCCTTCTTAGCAATTGGGTTACTCTCGATCAGGATCAACACGTCCAATCCATTATTTTGAACTCTATCTGCCACGCCTCTTTTGGCGACATCGTCGTAAAACTGAACCATATGAAGCTTTGAATGCAGCGTGTTTTACTGTGTCGTGGGTAGCTTTTAGAATACCATGAGAATCCTTGAATATGTGCGGGCTCGACACAAACCTTCTTAATGCTATTATATATTTTCTAACCAGCTCATCCTCCTCCACAGTCGCTGTTAGCTTTTTTTCTAGGTACTTTCGTTTGTCGGCATAAGATGCTGCTAGAATACCATCGAATTTTCTGGCCTGTTTCGCTGCTGCCAGTATATCATCGAATTTTCTGGCCTTATTAACTGCTTTCATGATACCGTTGAATGTATAGGAAATTGCAGGTGCTGTCAGGATATCATCGGCTTTGGACAGTGAAAATGCTTTTGTCAATCCCGTCGTGATCCGGGCCATGATTGTCCCTCTCCTCACTCGTGGACTTTAATTTGTCACTCTCGTCCGTGCCATGTTTGTCTTCCATCTTGAGAATGCGTAAATATGTTTTGTCACCGCGTTCCATCGGGGCGGTCTCGTGAGATTGCTCTGAGACAACAGTAGCTGCAGTAGCATCGTTGCGATGCTACTGAACTCACTAATGCCAAATTCCAACAGTCCGTTCCGTTGGGCTTGCGTTCACAACATGTTGGTATGCACGACTACACGGATCGATGTCGGCGCGACAGAAACCTACCGCCTTTCTACTTTCACAAAACCATCTTAAGTCCGACACGTCGCCCATTTTTTGTCGAGGATTTAAACCTTTAGAAAAAGCCACCACCAGGCGGCTTATTTATCGATGAAGTTATGCTGTGTGCTATGAATGAGAGCTAGTGCTACTTTAGCGTTGCTTCATTTCTAGGAATCAATTCAAGCGTTACCATGATACAGATGTGTATCATTGGTCTAGAAAAGCGTAAAAGGTTACATAAGAAGCGCGTTTCATTGTATTTTAGACTACGTCGACTACAATCCTATCTTACGTAAACAATATTATGACTTATGTAACGAATAACACCACTACTCGCCACACCATTAAGTGTGGCTATACCTTAAGTTTCCTGGTCAGGTTGGGTAACGAACGCCCTCCCGGAAGGCTTGGGCTAGCTGAAGCTAGCTCAGGCCTCCGACGGGTGCTTCGCGGCATCCGTCAGCTTGGACGGATTTGCTCTCTCTTTAAACTCCTCTCTTTTGTTGCTCTACCCCAGACGCCAGCCAAGCCGCCACGATGTACGCCGCCACGCTGGAAGCCCCGAAGTCCCGGCATCTCTGCTTAGGTACGCTCGCGTCATTCTTTGTTCACGGTGCAAGCAACGGGGACCCTCCCTGGGTCCTGTTGACAATATAGACAAGTAGGGGATCAAGAAGAAACCACGGTGGACACTGCCGTTGAGTGGCCCCAGATCTGCCGCTCCTTCTCCAATGTGCACAGGATCGTGCAGTCTGGACGGCCTTCAGCGCGGCGCTTATAGCGCGCGCCGCTTAATGGACCCTGACGAGAGTAGAGAGAACTGAAGAAAAGGAGAGATAACCTGACGCATGCGGAAGTTGAGACACTTCGGTGGCAAGACGGCTCGCGTAAAGCGTTTACATACATACCTTGGGTTTATTGGGTTCACACCCTCTTTAGTGCGACCGTACCTAAGGTACAATGGGCTCGCATCACGACAGAGAGCCACGTGGTCACTATACTTATTTAAAGTATAGTGACTATGCATATTTGCATAATTATAATAGGCTAAGAGAGCCAGGAATAGTAACTAGCACTAAGTATAGGATAGGTGCTTCTATATTTAGTGTTAGAAGATAAACATAAATATAAATCAGTTTCAAACCTGCTCTATAAGCCTTACAGCTTGAGCGTTCTATTCCTCTGAGGAATCAGTAACTTTGATACTAAGTCTCTGAGAGACATGGTCGTTCACAACCAAAAGACACAAGCTTGCGAGCTAGCCTAGGAGGGTTAAGCACCCTAAGGCGTAGAAGCTCTCTGAGCTCGTCTTCCTCTTTTGCACATAGTGCATAAGTAGCGTAGCTACAGTAGCTCGGCTACATCTGGTAGCACTTGTAGGCAATCTCGCACCTGGGTTTGCGACTACTTCTCTGTGTGAGAATGGACATTGATGAGATGTCAGCGGTTGTCCTGTCACAGGCACGAAAAGAAGGGTTGCAGAAGCCGCTCCCTATCCTTGGCCCTAAGGGCGTGGAAAATTTTATCGCCCAGGGCGAAGAAGAGTTTAACAAGCGTATTCGTACACTTGATGAATATAATAAAGCTCTAGTCGAGCATGTACAGGTACAGATGCCTTCTTCTGCGCCTTCGTCCATGGCGACTATGGCGCAAGAAGTGGTCCGCAGACCAAAACCCATACAAATGGAAGTCGATAAGTTCGGCAAAGAAGGTAACAACCTTATGCTATGGTTCCGACAGGTCGAGTCGGCTATGTTTATAGCTGACATCACCTATGAACCGTACCGTGTGGGCTTTGCCACGGGCAAGTTAGGTGAATTAGCCAAACAGTGGGCATTCACATGTGGTGCATCATTGCAAGATGCTTTTCCCACATGGGTCGATCTGAAAGCTCAGATGACCCGGCAGTATACACCGCCAAACCAAGCACACCGTAACCGGTCGCGGTTTTTGGCGTGTTGCCAAGGCAATCGTGAGCTTGCGGCATATGTACAAGAGTTGAGAACTCTCATCGCTGCCATGGTCATAGACCCTATGCCTGAGGCAGCGACCGTCACGGTCTTCATGGAGGGCCTCCGAGTTGGCGTTGTCAGAACATAAGTCTTCCGGGTAAAACTCGTCCACATTCGAGGAAGCTGTTGGAGTGGCATGGAATGCCGAGACCAACTTTAAGGCCGCTAGGCCTGCCACTTATATCTACTCGTCTGATGGGTCTGTACCCATGGACTGTAGTCAAGTGGAGGATGAAGAAGCTGAGCTTCAAGCTGCGGAGCAGCAAATTGTGCGCAGATGTTATGTCTGCAAGAGCACAGGCCATTTGATGGCAAAATGCCCTGCAAGAAGAGGCATATCTGGCCTCGAATGGCCGACGCCCCATGGGTAAACCTTCTGGTTTGCCGCGGGGAAACGGCGGAACCCAGTAGGCGCGAGGGCGCCCTGCTGGGGAAGAACTGAGTTTTGTTGAACCTCTAGGAGGTAGAAGTAAACAGGACCCAGCATCAAAGAGATCCGAACTCTCAAAAACGAAACGAGAATGCAAGCCAGGCTTGCTAGTCGTCGAAGGAACGATTAAGGTCTACGATAAGCCATGGATCATTTTGGTCGATTCGGGGGCATCGGGCAATTATGTGCGCCGTGCCACCGTGGAAGGTAGTCAGCAATATGCTGAAGCGCTTGTAGCGCGTGAAAGTGACACAGTCACAGTTTGCTTAGCGACTGGTACGCGTGTTACGGTACCCAAAGTTCCGATGGACTTAAATGTAAAGTTCTTGGACTTTAACAGCATGGAACTCGGTTTGGTCTTAGACCTGGATGCGAGGTAAGACCTCATCTTAGGCATGGCATGGCTAGAATGTCATGAGCCATGGATTGATTGGAGGTCGAAGATCTTAGGCGCAGCGCGCAATGCTCCTGGTGTGGCTCTGGAAAGTCATGAACCCACCTATAATCGGAAGCAAAAGCGCTTTTGGCGCGGATATTGGACCGAGTCGGTCAATATGTTGGATGTCGGAATATCCAAATTTGTAGACACTGTAAGTGTCGAGGACAATAGTCCTGGGCCAGGCCTAAGGACTGTCGATATTGTGATTGAGAACTCATTAGATGGCACATATGACATGTGTCATGAGAATGATGTTACATCATTCAACACCGTGAGTGGTGTTGGTGGCAGCAAGCCAAGATGTCAGGACATGAGTCCAAGGGATATGGGTGACGAGGTACTGGCTTAAGATGACTGGGTGAAGTCATCAATGGATGTTATCTTTGAGGACAACAAGGTGCAAGCAGCTAGTGATGAGGTACTGGCCCGGGAGGGTCGGTTGAAGTCAAAATGACGGTTGTCTTTGATGACAACGAGGAGCGAACACCTCATGACGAGGCATTGACCCAAGAGAGTGTGGTCCACCAGACGGGAAGGTCGATCGATCTTCCAAGTGGAAGTCGTCGTTGGTCAACGATGCTCCAGAAGCTCTTGGTCGCCCGACCATGGGTGTCAGCTCGAGTCCCGACCCCCCTCGTATCCTTCCAACCAGTGGGCTAGTTCGCGGAATTGGAGGCGACCTACCTGCGCTTTGACAAAGACCACAGCCAAGCTATCTGCGAGGCTACCTACTGCTTATGGATCTCCAAAGATCAAGCGCTCCCCAGCTTTTTCCTCTCTTCGTACTACAACGCACGGAAGAAACGACAGGGTCGTGCGATTTGGGCGTGGCGAGGGGTTGTCGACCTACTCTTCAAAGGGATGAGCGACGGTCGGTGCGACATCGACATCTTGCTTGACCCCTTCTTCCGGCACCTTCCCCGACCTCGCTGTGTAGCATACTGGTTCCCAGGGGGTGAGGAAAGGTCGGATCCCGCCGACCTTCTGGAAGCCGTGAGGGTCTCCGACTTCACCTACCCATGGATCTTCCAGTACCGAGTTTCATCCGAGCTCCATCCTGGATACTCGGTGCCACGTCTCCGGGACAAGTTCGTCCTCCTTCAGCATATCATTTTCTAGGCGGAAGCCATCATTTCTTGAGTGTCCTTGAAAAGATTATTGTTGAGGCCGTCTGCACCTGCCGCTTTGTGACGATTCAGCGCAGTAATGGCCTGGACGACCTCGTCAAAATGTATCTCCTTCATAAGGTGCGTTTTGTCCGCCAGTGAAATGCGACGGGTGGCTAGTAAATGAATTAATATTTAATTTCATATGTGGATTGAATTGCAAGGTTCGACAACGATTCAAATCGAGATTAGACTACACAAGAAAAAAGTAAGATACGACTTAGTTATACGGATACAACTATACTTCGTATCACATTGTAAGTATCTTACATCAAAGCAATATGTTACCTCTCATACGACATATATGCCATTTCATAGTTACCGGAGGATATCAGTGAAAATTTCAAAACAAAATATTCCACCAATCCCATAGTAATCAATGGAAGGCAGCAGTGGTAATAGTAGTGGTAGTGATGGTAATAATGGTCATGATACAACTACTGTTCATGGCCATGATACAAGAACTATTCATGGTCATGATGTCGCGGTATTAAGTGCTACTTGTTTAAATCAAGAACAATTAGTCCATGAATTAGAAAGTAAATATCTAAATCTAAAGACTGAATATTCCTTCCTAGAGAAAGAACACGAGGTTTTAACAAGAGAGAAGAAACATATTGTGGCACAATATGAACACATGACTCAAGTTGTAGTAGAGAGAGAAGAAGAGACACGAGGATTGAAGCAACAATTGGTACAAGTGACAACAGAGAAGGACGCACTGACATTGAAATGCCAGACAGCCACGTCATTAGCTGAACGTCGACTCTTAGAGGTAGAAGAGTTACAGACGACAGTTCGAGAAAACAATCAGAGACTGATAGAGGCACAACGTCAAGAGATGGAGGCATTAGAGCGTGCAGCAAAGCAAGAAGCACAGGTCGCACTATTGACACACGCAATTTCGAGAGCTAAGAAAGAGACGGAAGCAGCACAGCAACATTCACAATGGCTAGAGACACAACTTTATGAGAAAACCAAGACAGTGCAGGAGCTTCGACAGGAGCTTGCAAAGCACATACACGACTTGGAGGAGCTGAAGATTCGTAGTACGGAAGAACTGACATCGGGAAAACGACAACTTGCGAGTGCACGATTGGCTACGAAGAAGATGGAAGCTGCGTTGATTAAGAGTAAGGAGGCAATGAAGGAATTGCAGGCCTCCAAGGTACATGATGAAGAGGCGCTGCTGAATGAGCTGAATGCACAGCGTCGACTCGCGACGTTGTACCAGGAATCAGCGACCGATGCCTCTGCTCGCGTTACGGAACTGCAGGCGTTATGTGATTCGTTGCGCAAATCACTGTCAGATTCGGAACAAGCACTGGCTCGTGAGACAGAACGTACGAAAGAGCAGGTTGAGCATTTGTTCCGTGAACAAGCTGAGGCTTCAGAAGCTCGCATTCAGGCATTACAGGACGATCTAGAAAACGCGGAGCAAAAAGTCAAAGAGCTCGAAAAGAAAAAGATATTTTCAATGCAAACAGTCAGTGCTGTGGCTGAACTATCCTCAAGTGCGGGCGAAGCTCATTTGGCAGCCCACGGTTTGACACCTAAGAAAATGTACGATCAGATTGTCGAGCTAGAAGAGATGCTCCAAGCGGAGCGCAACGAAAAGGATAAACTGCAGCTCTACATGGATCGAATTGTCAAGGAAGTACAAGAAAAGGCACCGATTCTTATGGGTTTGCGGCTGGAGCACGAGCGCACTGTTGCCAGTCACACACAAGTAAGCGAACGGCTGGAACAGTGCATGCAAGAGCTGGCAAAGAGCAAAAACAACGAGCAGCATGCATGGAAAGAGAAGATTGCGTTTGAGAAGAAATGCAAGTCGCTTGGTCAGAGCGTGGACGATCTGTCACGTCAAGTGCAGCACTTGCTCTTCCGCTCACAGGATTCAAATGGACAATTGGGTAACTTTGGATCAGGCGACGTTGGGTCCGAGAATTTGGTGGTTTTTAAAAATGTAGAGGAGCTACAGGTGCGAAACCAACAGTTGTTGACGGTCATTCGCGAGCTCACTGAGATGAACAAATCTACGACAGGTGAAAAAATGAGTAATACTTTGAGTGATGCCAAGTCTGTGAGTTCGACGGCACATTTGATTATTTCTGGTGACTCGGACGATGAATTAGACCAAATTGGTGCCTCCAACGCGATTAAGAAGCGCTTGTTGATGGCTCATAAAGAGATTCAGGAACTGCGTACTGAACGAGAACAGGAACGCGAGATGATCACAGCTATCGTGAAACAGCGTGATATGTACCGTGTGTTGCTGGCTCAGTCTGATACCAAATTCCTGCAAGACGGCGCTGCATCTAGCAGCAATGGCGGTCAAACAAGTTCTGCTCTAGTAACGAGACCTCACAACGATCACGGCTCACTTGACCTCGTCGAGAGCAGAAAACTCCGAGAGATGCAGATGGAGTTTGACAATTACAAAATTGATAAGCAAGCTAATTTCAAACTGCTGCAGGAAACTCTTGACCAAGAACGCGTCAAGGTTTCGGCGTCAAGGTTAGCGCAGATGCAAGCGCAGGTGGAAGCTACATGCAACAAAGAGCGTTTTGAAGCATCGGAGGAGCGATGCGCCAACGCAGAGAAGGAGCTAGTACGTTTGCGGTCCAAGTCGGATCACTTGAGCTCACTGATTCTGCAGCATCAGCAAGTGCTGGCAAGTACTGAGGCCAAGTTAGAAACTGCAACGTCGCGTCTGCAAGGTCTCACTATCGAAAAAGACTCGGCTGTCCGCGAGGCGAGTTTCTTGCGCAAGAATGAGGAAAAAATACAGCAGGAGCTGACCACTTTGCGGCTTGACAACACGAATTTGCTCAAGCTTATGGAGTCGACACGTCGCATGGAGAGCGGTCGTGAGGAGCGTGACCGCCGGGAGGTGGAGATTTTAACGAAGAAAGTGACTATCCTTGAGATGAAGCTGCACGATGCGTACGAAAAGGTTGATGTGAAGGAAGTTACATGTGGAGCACAAGTTTTGACTGCTGAGAGAGAGAAACAGGCAGCAGCTGCAGAGTTGGCAAAACTTAAGGAGACACATGGAAAACTAAAGGAACAGCATGGACGGCTTGAAGAGCAGAAAAAAGCTCTGGAAGAGAAATCAATTTTGCTTGAAAAGGAAACCACGCATTTGCGTGAGCAGCTACGAAAAGGAGCAGGTGCCGCAGCATCTGAACGAGTAGCAGCGCTGGAGGTCCAACTTCGTGATGCTGAGCGCACAGTGCAAGCATCCTTGGTTTCGAGGAAGACGCTAACTGAAAGCGTGACAAAGTACAAGGCTTTGGCTGAAGCCAGCGAGAAGAGTTTGGCCGAACTGTCTAGCGCTAGTGAGAAATGGAAGCAGACGGAGGCGGAGAAGGTGCAGGCGCTCGAGAAAAGTCGCAACTACTTAAGTGAGGAGCTGGCGAAGGTCCGCGTAGAGCTGAAGGAGCATATTACCGAGAACAAGAGTTTGCGTGAAGAGATGGATCAAGCTGAAAAGACACACAAGCAGTCGATTCTCGAAACGACGGAAAAACAGAAAATGTTGCAGTTTCAAGCAGAGAGTCAGGTGCAACAGATGAATAGCATGCGCGATGAAATGACAAAAATGAAACATGAGTTGGAATCGACACAGGAAAATTATGAGCGCGAATTGCAGCTTCACGCAGCCGAAGTATCCAAGTCGTCGACATCTCGTCGAGAAATGGAGCAACTTCGACAGACTGTAGGTGAATACGAGACTGAGATTGAAGCGTTGAAGGCGAAGCTGCTGGCAGTTGAGCAGGAGGCGCAACTTCAATTAGATACGTTTCAGAAGCGCCTTGACGAAGCGGTTAACGCTAAAAATGCTGTCGTCGAACAGAACAAGTTGTTGCACTCCCAGCTTGAGCGCGCGGCGACTCAGGTACGTCGTGCGCACGAGCAAGAAATGCTGAAGGTGGTAGACACACCACTGTCTGTGTCAAACCAGGAAGCTGGTGAAGGGGCTGCTTCATCATACACGTACGAAAAAGAAATCGATGATCTCCGGAGTGTTGTAGCGTACTTGCGACGGGAAAGCGAGATTACTGAATCAAAGCTCGAGTTGTCCCAGCAAGAAGTCCAACGTGGCCGCGCCCAAATCTTCAGCTTAGAATCTATGATCGAACGACTTCGTGGTGAAATTAAGACGTTAACTGATGCAGCAAGTGGAGTTGGCAAGCAGACTATAACGACTTCAGCTGCAGATGAGAAGCGCGTTGCCCAATTGGAACAGTTGAGCCTATTGCGCGAGAGTAATGCGACCTTGCGCGATGAGAACCAAAAGAGTTTGGCAAAGCTTACGGCAGAGGAGACGAAGGTGAGGAGCCTTGAGGCTAAGCTTGTGCCTTTGCAGAACGCTGAGACAGCTTTAAAGATCCAAGTGGCGTCGTTGAAGCAGGAAGTTGAAACACTCAATGATGCGAACAAACGCTGGAAGCAGCGAGTGGATCAGCTTGTTGAGAAGTATCAGCAGATTGATCCGGCTGAACACGATAAGGTTGTTGCTGAGAAAGAAGCTCTGACGAAAGAGCTTACGGAATTGAAGGCCGAGCGAAATGTTTTGAACAACGAGCTAGAGACCCTACGTTCTAGTGGTGGTAAGGAGCTGGAAGAAGAAAAGAAAAAGGTTGAAAACTGGAGCAAGCAGTATGAACGAATCAAGGGCTTTGCAAAGAACTGGAAGAACAAAGCCGAGGCTTTGACCAAGCAACTTGCGGAAAAGAACAAGGAAACAGATGATGGCACAAGCACTATTTCCACACTGGAGGCCAAGCTCCGATCTGTTCAAGCACAAATTAACACTGTCACGGCTGAAAAGGCTGCTTTGGAAGCAAAGTTGTCAGCGTGCGAGGCGGCTAAACAGGATAGTGCTACAGCTGCTAGTAGTGCGAACGCGTCGTGGGAGAAGGAGCGTCAAACCTTGAGAGCTCAGTTGGATCTTGAAACCAAAAAAGTTCGCAATTGAGGGATTTCAACGCACGACTGATGTCTGGTCTGAAAAGCCTCAAGAAGGAAAACAGTGATTTGAAGGATCACGCAGCAACTGCTTCTCAGCCGGCTGTGGCGCAGGAGAAGACGCCTGTGCCTTCCCCTCCTGCCTCACCTCCTCAGATACCACCTGCCACTACGATGGTGACGACAGTTACACCACTGACAAAGTCAGCTTCAGTTTCCGCTCCGCTGTTCTCGTCTCCGAAGCCAATTGTCAAGAGTGAACAGCCGGTACAGCAGTTGAGTACTGTATCACCAGAAGCAGGCTCTGTTATGACTAAACCCGACGTAACTCCCCCGGCCACTTCATCTACCCCTGTACCTCCTCTGACCCCGTCAACGAGTACAACGGCTACAACGGTCACCACTACTTCGACAACTTCTGATCCAACGACTGCCACGGCGCCTTCTACAATCGTTTGTACCTCAACCTCTACTCTACCTGCTCCTGTTGAAGCTGCTCCAGCTGCTCCACCCGTACCGTCAGTGCCAGTGCCTCCAACAGCAGCGCAGCCAAAAGAGCTATCGGAGAATGCTGCTGGTAAATCTGGCGAAATGACGGCTGAGGAAAAGCTTCGGCAATTTGCGCTGCGGTCCATCAAGAAGCAGGTGGACGGGGCTGCACGTTTCACCCCTACGAAAACCTCTGCTCCTCCAGAAGCCAAACCTGCTCCAGGAGGCGAGACCGAGACAAAGGACGCATTTGAGAGTAGCAGACAGGTTGAACGCAGTGCTGGTACGGGTTTTGGTGCGTTCGGGTCGGGTGGACCAAGTGGACTCGTGTTTGGCAAGCCGGGAATTTTGCTGCCTGTTCCATCGCCTTCGTCACCAGCTGCCTCGCATCCTCCGCACTTGTCGCTTGCTGGAGAAAGCGCACCTCCAGAATCATTTCGCCGTAGCCAGCGCCTTGCGCGTTTTGCTGGTGGTGGAGATACCGCTGCTAGCGTTCCCACAACGATCGTGTCCACGACCACGATCACTGCTGCTGCTACTGGAAGTGCTTTGACGAAGCGACCACTGAGTAGCGCAGTGGAGGGTGGAGCATCCGTGCAGAAGGTTGCAAAGACAAGTGAAGACCAAACGGCGAAGCTCACGACCGTGACGACGGCTACGACCACCTTGCCCACATCAACAGTTTCGGAGGGAAAGCAGGAGGAAGACACCCCTCCACCACAAACAGATCCAACGGAGTCGCAGCCGATACCACCGACGCAGTAAGGCAAGAAACATTTTGGCTTGTTAACATGAATACGACAACTAGTTGTTTGTGGTTACTGAGAATATTTGGTTTACTTATTGCTGCAAACGGCTTGAAATTAAAAGCTGGGGGACATTTGTTTTCTGTTTTGCCATTTACAAGTTCGCAGGGCAATAGCAAAGTGTATCCTAAAGGAGGTGCAAGCAATACCATTCCTTGAAAGCATTTATTACAAATCACTCCACCTTCCTTCATCTCTGAGACGGTGATGTTTATTATCATTGACCTCGAAACATGAAGATAGAGCGGTTAAAGCAAACAATACGATAAAGAAACGAAGACAGTATTGCTATTCCGCCGCGCTTTGCACAGACGTCTTACAGCGATGACGGTAGCAGAGCCACATCACGTCGGACGTAAGCAGGGCTGTAAAAAAAGCACAACAATCAGAATAACATCTGTGTGAGTTGCTAATGTGCACGGCTGATAATAACTCCGTGGAAGACAATCAAATTTCTATGTCTTTACGTACCCAATGTCAGCAAGCTTAGCTGTACCCGAGAATAGCATCGCGTGCTTTAGCTCCTCATTTAGAAGACGAAGGACATTCGAGACACCCTCTTCACCCTGCTCATGAAATATCAATATACAACTAAGTTGTTAGTAAACCTACTGATGCTTTAACATAATCATGAGCACGTACACTATGAGCTAAACCAAACAGAATGGGACGACCGAGGAAAACAGCGCGAGCACCTAATGCCAAAGCCTTGAACACGTCCGTGCCACGACGAACACCACCATCCATGTAAACTTCTGCACGACCATCCACAGCTTTGACAATGGCAGGCAGTGCGTCAATGGTAGCTGCGACGCCATCAAGCTGTCGTGCACCATGGTTTGACACTAAAATACCTTGACACCCCATTTCGACCGCAATCTTAGCGTCCTCTGGACTGAGAACACCCTTGACAACAACAGGAAGATTCGTGATACTCTTGAGCCACTTGACGTCGTTCCAATTAAGCGTCGGATCAAACAATTCACTGACATACTTGGCCAGTCCAGAGTTCTTGACACCATTGACACCGTGTTCATATGCACCACCAATATGTGTAAAATTAGCCATGGTAAGATGATTCGGTAGACTAAATCCGTTGCGTACGTCTGGTTCACGATGACCAAGCATGGGTGTATCAACGGTCAAGACAATGGCTTTATAACCCGCTTCTTCAGCTCTTGTCACAAGTCCACGTGTAAGTTCTCGATCCTTAAAGACATAGAGTTGATACCAACGTAAGGCATGAGAATTAGCTTCCCGACTAGCTTTCGCGACATCTTCAAGACTTGTTGTCGAGATTGTGCTGAGGATGTAACACGTATTGGCTTTTGCTGTCGCAATTGTACTTGCTTTTTCTCCATCTGGATGTGCCATACAATGCATTGCTGAAGGTGCAACACATATGGGTGAACTAATGGAATGACCTAAGAGGATTGTGCTTGTATCAAGTATTGAGACATCACGTAGGACACGTGGATGAAGAATAAAACGTTTAAAAGCTTGACGATTTTCACTTAGTGTTATCATCTCATTAGCTCCTGATGCATAGTAATCATATGCATTCTTTGGTAAATATTCCTTTGCATAGGCTTCATATTCAAGTAAATTCAATGGAGTACTATTACTACCAGGAACAAGAGCGATAGTCATTTGAAAAGAGACGGAAATGAAAGAAGAGCTAGAATGAGACCACGTGCTTTTTTATTGCTTGGTTTTATACATTATTATTATTGTCTTTGATTGTAAAAAGTTTTTTATAATTAGGCTTTTAGAAATAGAGAAGGGTTTTTTCTTTAAGTAAACGTTTGCTATTTTACTTCGGTTTGTTTTAGCGTGTTGTACATGAAACAAGTGCCATGACGGTTTCTCACGGTTTAAACCGGTCTTCCGACTGACTGGTCCTTGTTAAAGCAAACACCAAGAGACGGCGGTAGAGAGAAGCAGTAATATTATGGGAGGCAAAGCCAAGTTTAAGAAACACACGGCTGCAGACCTTGAACGTCGTCAAAAGCAGGTAAATAAAGGTGGAGGTAAAGCTGGAGCTGCTACACGTGCAGTTGCTAAGCTGAATTTTACATGTGATGTTTGCATGGTACGTCTGGAAGTCGCACTATCAATATTTGTATCAACTTCATCTTCAACTCAGTATTGTGTTTCTAATATGTTTGACTCGATATCTGAATACAATATAGAGTGCCTCACCAGACATCAAGTCGTATGAGCTGCACTATATGAGTAAACATCCAAAAGCAGTATTTGATCGGGAGGCGATGATTAGTAAAGCAGAAGCACTGCGTAATTCACAACAGGATCACTCCGCCAGTGGTTCACATCACAAGAAGAAATAAACAAATGATTGCACCAGTTCTACTCCTTCTTGTGGGATAATGATGACACCCACACACACGAGGTTGTATTGTAACCTCGTTGTGTGTGTTTATGAACACGACATTTGCTTGTCTTGCTGCTATATATCATGATTACGTTGTTCTAGTCATTGTCTTGTATTTGCGTCGTCTGTCTTGATGAAAGCACAAGTCGCGCGTGATAGGCGTTACTTTTAGAACGACAGAATTTTGTGTATTTCGTCTATTTTACGTCTTTCAAATAGTTTCGATTTGTTTCATTGGTTGCGTAACTGTTGAGTTCAAGTTAAGCGTTATTTGAGTATACTCTAACCAGCTCTTTTATTTACGTAAAAATCAGAGTAAATACTCATCTCTCCACCAATCAAATGGCGTATACTTTTCATTCCTCGCTCACCGCACACTCACTCTAAAGCTCTTATTGACCTCCTCACTTCCTCCCTCCTCCCTCCTCCATCTCTTAAATCAAGATGCTGTCTACTACCAGTCGCCTTGCAACTCGTGCTTTCCACACATCATCACGTCTATCAGCTGCTGCAAGTGAACAAGCTATTACTACTGCTACTAAGGTAACATTGAATCTAACTACACCTTATCAAGCATTTTACAAGAGTGCCGAGGTGGATCTTGTCCAGATTCCTGGTGTTATCGGAGAATACGGTGTTACTGCTGGTCACGCTCCTGTATTGGCACAATTAAAGCCTGGTGTTATCAAGGTTCATGTAGAGCGTGAGAAAGATGTACAGAGCTTCTTTACAGCTGGTGGGTTTGCTCTCACGCATGCTAATTCCGTTACGGACATTGCGTGCGTAGAGCTTGTGAAAGTGGAAGACATTGACCCAGAAAAAGCTCAAGCTGATTTAGCCACGTATCAGGCCAAACTGGCTTCAGCTCCAGAAGGATCAGAGGAAAAGCTCAATGCGCAGATTGGTGTGGACACTCTTGCGGCAATGGTAGCTGCAGTTGTCAGCAATTAGATTGCTTATGATGACGTTCGTACGTAGTCTCAGAATCTGTTGAAGCATCAATTAATTTCCCAGTCACATATTACGTCGTCGAATTGGCTGGCGCGTTTGCTTGAGTTGTGTTTGATTGTTTACGTCCACTGCTTTGATTCATGCTTGTTGTATGTGTGGGATAAAGAGACAAAAGGTCTGTTTTTTGCTACAGCACTTTAAGAGCAGAAAAGCACCAAGCTATAGAGGCTCGAGCATAAGCAGCAGTTGACGGATTGTTTTCAATACACGGGGACGCTTTCTTTGCTGGAAAAGGGGAATCGAAGATTACTGCATGTATGTACTGCCGCTAGCTTCCGTTATCCTACGTGAGTACAAGTCTCGATAGTTGGAAAGCTAAAAGGCTGACGCGAACAAGTGCAGAGACTATAGCATCGTAAGTTTTATGTGTTGTTGATTCATATCTAAGTGGCGTGATATAGATGAACTTCTACGCTGACATTGCACATGAAACGAATAAAAGCCCTCAATTTGAACAACAAAGTACATGTTTCTTGGTCTATAAGTTATTTCTCGAGTTTCTCTGGTTTGTATATGTTTGTAAGATTGATAGGAATCGTAGTAAGCAGCAGTATCTGTTTCGTAGCTGACGTACTGATTTGCGAAAAATGTCCTCAACATCACGCTCAAATTGTCCACGCTGCTCTTTCCCATTTTTTGTCGGCTAATATCAGCTCAATAGTTCGCAATCATCTCCTTGTTTTTCTTTGGCACTTGTTCAATGTCGAGCCTCCCCAAAATCGTAATTTGGCCCGTGGTCATACTATACATCCATCTACTTGTCCAAGTAGCAACAGCATCCGTCCGACATGACGACGTCTTCTCGGAACAGAGTGAGCACGAACGCCTAATGACATCGTTGCAACTAAAAAACTGCACACTCAAGACGATTACGTGCTACCATTGAGCATCTGCCAGGTAATTTGCAGGTCGAGATCCCCTTCGTGCGTACACAAATGCTCCATGTTTGCAAGAATCAACTCCACCTCCAGTTGCAGCTCGCTGATCTTTGGGTGGGCAACGAACTTCATGGACTTGCCGTGGCATGCGTCTATTGCCTGCATCTTGACATTGATCAATGCTTCGCGCTCAGTAGGGCCGTCACCGAGCGAAATGACATGCCGCGGAATGCCCGCCGAGTTTTCCTCGCCGTACGAGTCCCAGACTGGAAAAACCTCGTTGTTAAAAGCCTCTACTTTCCATCGACGTGGACAGTCTGGATACAAGTACTCGTACGTAGAGCGTGCCGAGATGACTTTGATTCGTGTGTTGAAAAATGGCACAAGACGTGGCATGAACAGCGATGCTGACAGCTCGACCCAGCCAGTCTCAGCTGCCGTCACAATGACCACGCGTCCATAGTGCAGTGCTGTCTCCAGCAGTTGCACAACTGACTCCTCCAGCTCCTTGAGCTCAGCTTGTACGTCATCCGGGATGTTTGGCTCCTCGTTAATGTACTTGGGACAAAGACCAAGTTTCGCAATGGCTGACGACGCCATGAGAGTGTCGTCTGTAAGGTGAGGAGGAGCATAGGATGAGAAGGAGCAAAAGGGTAAGAAGGCTGATTATAATAGTAAACACTGGAAAGAGAGCGAAAGTAGCCGCTCACCCCAGTCAAAAAAGATGACCACGTCTTCGGAATCGTGCTTGGTACTGTGCGGGCTCAAAATGGTGCTGACGTCGTAGCCGTCGAGCGATAGACTGCTACAGACGTCTTCAACGCACACATCTCCGCTGTTGTTTGTATTAGGCGCCATGAGTCGACTTGGTGTATTTTACCAAGTACGTAGTAAATGGTAAAGAACAATATAAACAATGTCGTCAAATTCCTCGGTTTCTATACAACCAAGTGACGGACTAATTGACTGTAAACGACATAGAAACAAAATAATAAAACAAGCGAGAGAAAAGAAAAGAATTAACATCATGTGTGTGTAACTATGTCTCTGTCTCACATCAAGTGAATGAGTTCAAGTCGACGTCATCAAATACTCACGTTCAGTCAGTTTAATACAAGCAAGAAGAACGAGCAAACGTAAACGAACAAGCAAATGTCTTACTGACGTTCGTCTCTGTTAGCCTTAAAACCAGAACTGACTTCCAAGAGGTCAGAAAAGACTTTTGTGCGACATGAAACCAATAGGACAAACGCATTTGAATCTTCATCTGTTCAGACCAATAGATTACAACACTGTAGCTGTGGTTTTAACCAATTAGAAACAATGAATAAGATGGAGGTCGACGTATACCATCTTGCAAGTATCACATGCGTTCGCTACTATTTTACATGGCTTAACTGTTGCATACTTTTTATTATTATTTGTGTACATGTCACTGATTTATTTTTTACTCTAATAAAAGTTCAGATAGGTCGTAGTCTGTAACTTGCAGCAAGACGACACTAGTGGACTTGTTGTTGTTGTTGTTGTTGTCAGTCATCATGACCTAGATCAATTGAACTTACTTCTGTTAAGCTTCAGACATAGCCAGTGTATCCGAAAGGCACAAGCTGCACAGACGCTCCTTTCACAATACTCTTTCGCGTCGTTGTGCTATACCAAAGACATTTGTGGCAGCACAGACGCTACGAGTTTCATTTTCTATGGAAGCAGATGGATCAGTTTTTCTGGTGTAAAGCAAATACATGTCGAAGAAAGATAAGAGGATAATACCATAAAACGGCCATATGTACAATCATAAATGAGTGTCAGCTCCACGACAAAAACAATCCAATGTTGAGTTCAGCAAAAGTCGTCATTTAATTACAAATATAGTACTTCTTCTCCACTTTCAACACTGCCATAAAGTCACTATTTGCAGGGCTTTTGATGTGATAACTCTCTCATAGAATATAACTCCTGCACCTGATCATCATTCTTTCAGGCGTTTGCATCATCCATCACCAAATAATAATAATGGTATACTCTTTTAGATAAAAGCATCTTAAGATCTTGAGAGAAGAACTTGATGGCGACTGCCGAGCATGTGCCGAAGAAACGCTGACATATGTTATAAATAGGAAGAATGACTACAATTGCAGCATAAACTTGGCCAGTTGTTTTCGCTTCTTTAACACTTGGCAGGTAAACAAATGTCTGCTCCTAGTTACTGACTGCATCAGAGAGTCGCATGAAAATGCACACGGAAAAAAACAAGACGCACTACTGCTGGACAAGACTGTCATTTTCACCCATTAAAGCCATGACAAAGGCACCCAAACTCAAGCTACTAGACGGTAGTAGCGTCAATATCTAGACAGCCACTGCGTAGAATGCTTTGCGATCAAGTGGTCGAAAAATGTTGCGAACATCGGACAGCGAGTATAAATTGGCGATTTGCAGCTTTTGGGCGATGATTAGGTTGCCATCGATTACTAGAATAGCCCCTTGATCTTGTCTTACTTGCGACGTATAGACACGAATGCTTTTGCGTCGTCAATGTGTTGATTGCGTCGTTATTGACTGTAGTAGCGTTTTCCCATATTAAAGGTCGTCGACCAAACGCCTTTTCAAAACACCCAATGTTAAAACTCAATGACTGAAGCATTTCTAGCCTCCACTTCGTTATTTTCCATTGATGATGCAATGCAGTCGTAGGTAGAGGGCAACGCATTGGTCACCTATACTTGAATGTTCGTTATGCAACTGTTGGCCATGATGGTAGAGCAGCACGCTTAGACCAATCCGTAAAATGGGTCAAGCAGTATTTGGGTGTCGAATTTAGGCGCAGTGGCGAAAAAGATGCTCTAAATGTTATAGGTACGGTATCTGATGTCCTAGGTACGGTATCTGATGTCCTAGGTACGGCATTTTCTTATGGTGCGACGTTTCCTTATAGGTACGGTATGATTCATAGGTACGGCAAGGTTTATAGGTACGGTATGATTCATAGGTACGGCATGGTTTGTAGGTACGCATGATTGTATTAGTACAGCCAAACAAGAGATAAGTACGCCAACAATAGTATTCATAATAGTAGTATTAGTCGTAGTAGTAATTGTAGTAGTTAGTAAATTATATGACACTCGTATTAAAAGTCCTAAAAATGCAGTTTGATAGATTAATAATTCTTGTAAAATAGTAGTCGCTAGGGTCTGGCAGAAAGTTTGGTCTTAATATTGATATCATACGGCACGGTACGGCCGACGTCTATCAACCACTTTCTGCTAATGTAAATGCAATCCTTTCATCGTCTCTTCTCTCTTACTCCAATCATCTGTCCCTTTCTATCATTCTTATTTCTCACCACGTCGACTTGCTTCCTGTTCCTTTTGCAACTTCTCCGGATTTACTTCGTCCCACTCAATGTTGATAACACGATTAATAAACCTCGACATATCACTCTTCTCTGGTTCCTCATTGCGTTCCTTGAAAACGTTGTAGCATGTCTTGCACACACGCTTTGGATCACGATTTGCCGCACCACGACGAGTACGACCAGGAAAACCCATTGGAAACTTGAACATTTCAACATGAAGGGCAGAACATTCAGGACAACAAAGACGACCACAGTGCGTACAGTTGTGCTCGCGAAAACCAAACTTGAACTTTTGATGACACAACATGCACTCGGACCGCTCCTTCTTCGTAATGTGCGTCGGTGGAAAATAAATGTGAGAAATCAGATACCGAAGATCCTTGCGGGGTAGTTTTTCAAACACGCTCTTTCCCTCGGCATCCTCGACATCCATTTTTGCTCCGGCCCGTACGAGCGCACCAGCAATGTGCAATCGTCCCGTACTGATAGCAGTGTGAATAACCGTTTGACTGTCGTGCATATCGTTCGGATTGGCACCATATTTAAGAAGCATGCGCGGAATGATAACGCTGTCATCCTTTGACGTAATCACCGAAATGATAAGTGGCGTAAACTTACGGCTGTTCTTTACGTTAGCGCTTGCGCCGTTCTCCAGAAGCAAATGCACGATGCCTGGTGTCTTTGTGGCTGCAAAATGCAGAGCTGTGTTGCCCTTGTCGTCCTCAACATTAATGATATCCTCAAGCGGTTTGTACTGCTCCAAAATCACCTTCACCAGCGGTGCCTTGCCGCTCTTCACCGCAAGATGTAGGCCCGTCTGACCGTGATTCGGTTCCCGATTCAACAGGGCCTCAGGACCATCAACACGTAAGTGCTGCACCACGCCGCGAAGATTGCCCTTCGCACACATTTCGTGTAGGCTACCGATTGGGTGGCTCTTCGTCAGCGGAGCCGTGCTATCCATGGTCACACGCACCGAAGGCCGCGGCGCATCAGTGTTGTTCATGGACGAGCTCATCGAAGATGACATCGAGCTAGATGACATGTCGGACGGGCGTACTTGGTCGCTTGCATGAGGAGGTGACGCATGACGATCTTCGGACAAAAAGTTACTCACATTGTCAACCGCCGCAATACCCGTAGCATCCTCCGCGTCAGGAAGGATTGGTACGGCACCTTCCTTTGTTTCAACAGAGAAATGTCCAAGCATTGCGACTGTCGAACCGCTCTTGTTGCGCTGAAATCTCTCCTTGGCATTCTCTTTGCTTCTTTTCTCCTTGTGTGCAACAAACTGAGTCTCCTCCTTCTCCTCCTCATCAACATCCCAAGCACCATGGCTGGCGTCGACATCAAAACTCTCATCACACCATGAGTCACGCGACTCATGCGATGCACGCACTGAACCATCCTCGGATTCCTCAAAGCCCAGGTCATTCTCACCCGATGTGAGTACCAAACCGTCTAATTCGAGAAGCTTCTCGACCGGCTCAAAAGACTCGTGAGGCGAAACGATTTCAGACTTCTTACTGGACTTGGACTTGTGCGGAGAGACTGGCACTGCCGTCGCAGGACCCGGTTTGATAGCCGCGTAGTAATTTTCCTCAACTAGTACATCCTCGTCATCATCGTGAAACTCCACCGGCTCGGGGGCGGCCGTCAGTGTAGACGTCGGAGATAACTCAGTCAGCGTTTTGGTGACTGGCGTCTTGGCACTCTGACGTTGAGGTGGCACTGGGGGTTCTGGAAAGTCTGACGGTATCTTATGCACTGGCATCGATGCACGACCCGGATGCGGCAAAGGTAGTTGCACGTACTTGGAAGAGTCACGATGGTACGATGGAGGAGCTGCAGAGCCCATGGGGCTCGTCGGGCCCTGTGCATTGCCACTAGTGATAACGTACGTGCTTTTTCTAGGCACTGAGCCAGGAACGTGATCCACCACTGTTGATAGTTTCTTAAAGCGTAACGTAGCTGGTAAGTCACATACTTGCAAGTAAGCAACAACATCATCCAAATTCATCTTTGTAGTATCTTTCATATTAATCGATAGTAAAAGATCTCCAGGTCCGACATTCTTAATACCAAATGGAAAACCTTTTCCAGTCACACGACTCACAGCTACACCACCATCACCGCCTTCAATTGTTGTTAGAGCTACACCTAAATCACCGCCTTCCCAGATCAATTGATACTCCACCATCTCGTCCGTATCTGAATCCACCACAGACTCAACAAAACTACCCACAAGATCAGTATACTCGGCTGCTTGCTCCTGCATCCAATCAGGTGCTTCTCCTGTGTGTTCATTGCTCATAATTATCGTTAAACCTGTTCTTTCTCTAAGTTAATAGGAGAAAGTTTACTCCAATGCCGCTGATCCGCTTGTGACGGACGTGAGCTTATAGTCGTAATACCATATTGAGTGTACACAACATATACACAAACTACAATATACTTGCAATTCGTATGCCAATGGCAAGTCCCGAGTGACGTGGCGTACAAAGGTCGCAATGCGAAATTTTCACCTTTTTTCATTGTCCTTTTTATTTTATATTCCAGTTCTATTTGATCAAGTCATTGAAATTCCCTATACCAAGCGTCAGTTCGTACGTAATGTGCGACAAGGTGTTGAGTTTGTGACTAAAAAGCCTTTGAACTTGATGAAAATCAATTCAGTCCACTCACTTTACTCGCATCAACTCGTAAATTTTGTGTGAAAAAAGATGTTAGAAATTCTCGATGACACAAGTTTCGATAAGTGCTTTCAAGTCGACGTTATGATCGTCAAGTTGTAGACGACGAAAGATTTGGAAGCCGTTTTTTTTCAACAACGTGACGATCGTCTGCTTGCGCAATCACGACGTGACAATGTCTGTTTCAACTTCAGTTTTAGTTGCTTTAAAGATGAATCGTGCGTATACTAATATCTTATATAGATAATAACTCGTATATTGTTACAAGTTACTACATGTACGTAGCATATTGCAAGTGCTTTGACGTACTCGACCTAACATTAAATAAAACTAAGCATGGAGCTGTTGCATCTGCGTTGAAAAGTCCGAAATGTGCTCCAAATTACTCAATAGGTTCTCCATCTCCTTCACCGGCGTCATGGCTGGGCTGCTGCTCGACGCGGAGCTTGACTGGAACCGATCGTGAGGTAGTTGCTGCTGAGAATGGTCATGATGGTTCTGCGGGGACAGCGAGCTCGTCGTAGGGACCGTGGATTGGTCGCTGCTACCCACGGGAGTGCCTATGTCGCTACTGTCTCTGCGACGAGAAATCGAGCTACTGGATTTATCATGGGCTTGACGTTGAAGTACTGAGAGTGTGCGCTGCAGCTTTGTGATGGCTGTATCTCGCTCTTGAAGATCGCGTAACAGCGTTTTCTCGTTGGTCAGTAGTACGGCACACCGTTTGCGCTCACTATCTATCTGGTGCTGTAGCGCCTCGATCTCCTCAACCAGCTCCGCCGTATGGTCTTCCATGGTCACCTTCATTTCGTCTCGGCATTGTACAAGAAGACGGACTCGCTTTACGGCCTCGTCGCGTTGTTGTTTCGCCACAACATAATCGCTCTGCACGTGATCCAGCCTCTGCCGGAGATTGTTGATTTCAATTTGATAGCTTTCCTTCAAGCACTTCAAATCGCCTAGTTTTCGCTGAAGATTGCTCACTGTGTCGGATTCCGTTCCGTTTCGACGTTGTATCTGTCCAATTTGAGTTTCCAACATTTTCACCTGATCTTTGTAACTCTTCATTTGAGAGCTCAACGCTACCAAATCTGTTTGATCCACCTTGGACTGCTTTGCAAGACTAATCACCTTCTCACCAAGCTCAACGTTTCGCTGGCCAGCATTCTCAATGCGATTGATGAGGAGAAACATCTCATGCTCCATCTTCTTTCGTTCCTTCAACAGTTTCTGCTCGCGGGCTGTGATCTTTTCTTGCCCCCTGTCAATGCGCTGGGTTGCGTCAACTAGCTGAGTTTCAAGGCGAGAGAGATCGTGCCGAAGGGTCTCAAGCTCCTCATCTTTTTGCTTTAGAGACAGCTCAGTCGCATGTGCTCTCTCTTTACAAGCTGCACTTCCTTCTTCAAGCGCATCGATTTGCTGCTTCAGTGACAGCTTGTCCTGTTCCAGCTGCTCAATCTGCGAGCGAAGATTGTCTGCCTTACGTACTTCCAATTCCACTCGACTTTCATAGCGCAAACGTACATCAGTGACTGTCCCCTCCCATGACTCTTTCTCTTGTTGTAACAATGCTACTTGGCGCTCATTACTCTTTAGCAACGCAATAATCTCCTCCTTCGCCAAAAGCTGGCGATACAGCTCGTCAATCTTCTCGTTTTGACGCGTAATTTGCTTCTGATTGTTACTGTTAGCTCGATCTAGCTCCTCTGCTAGCATCTGCCGTTCAGCTTCCAGAGCAGAACTATCTTTTTTGACTCGGCTCAGCTCAATGCGCAGCTTTTCCACCTCTTCGTGCGCACACGCCGCGCTCTCTTCGTCATTCAGCAATTCCTTGAATCCAAAATCGAGCTGCTTTGCCAGCGACGTTTGGCATTGCTGAAGCTGCTCGTATTTGGTTCGGGACTGGTCAAGCTCACATTCTAGCCGTTTGATCTGCTCTCGCAGCTGTCGAATATCATACTCTGTCTGCTTCTGCTTCTCATCCCGTCGAATAATGTCGTTTTCCAGGTTGCGAGCAGCAAGGTCTTTTCTGCCAAGCGTCCTCGCAGTAGTGTAATCTCCTGCTTCAGCGATTGTGCATCCGATACCAAGCTTTTCTTCTCGTGCATAAACTCAACGCGCAGACGTTCCTTCAGGGAGGCAACTTCATTACGTAGCGTCGACACTATCATAGAGTGGTCTTTTGCGCTCAGCCGTGATTTTGCAGTATGTAACTCAGCCATGGTGGTCTCTTTCTCCTTACACAAGGCAGAAATCTCGCATTGTAGGTCACTCTTCTCGCGCTGCAGCGTTGACACTAAAACCAACAGCTCCTGTCGCTGTGCCTCAACCTCTTTTTTCGAACTGTCGTCTGATGCAAGCAACTGTTCTTGAAGCGTCAAGACATTAGTCGAGTTGTCCAGCTTCAACTGCATCTCCTTGATCTCACTAGTTTTACGCTCCACTTCAAGCTGAGCTGCTGATACCTCAGCAGTAAATGCCGACAGCTTACCTTGTAATTCCCTAATCTCTCCTTCTTGTCTGCGCTTGTCATCTTCTAAGCTGCTCAACTTTTTACTAATGCTTTTGATCAATGAGAAGCGCGAACTACCCGCCTGTTCAATGTAACTGTGTTCCGCATTATGTAGCAACGTCTGCAGCTCGGCACGGAGTCTTGCATTCTCATCACTAGCTGTCTGAAGGTTCTCCAGTTGCTGCTGCATCAGTGTCTTTTCCTGTTGCAGTTGCTCACACTCATGCTTCGTGTCGCTCAGTTCGTGCTCGAGTTCAAGACACTGCGTCTGCACTTCTGCCTCCTTGCGCTGCATCTTAATTTCCAGCTGTTCAATCGCCTGTGAGAAACTTGTCAGTGTATGTTTGGCATCTTTCAATTGTCTCTCCAATTCTTTCTTCTGTCGCTCAAGACGTGCACGATCTCTTTCCCATTTGCCTTTCTTGGCATGTAGTGCGTCTAATTTATCGCCCAGTGCGCGGTTTTCACTCGCCAATTTAGCAACAGAAGCCGTCGCTTCGTCACCTTTGGCTAAGGGCAAACAGCGACGTAATGTCACAAGCTCTTGACGTGCACGTTCTTCACGTTGACGGTAGAATTCCACCTGACACGTCAATGCTTCAATCGTTCCTTTCTGTTCAGCATGTAATTGATCCAGTATAGAGCCAAAGGAGTTGGAATCATCGGCTGTAATTTTGTGAAGAAGGACGCTGTTATGATGATTATTACTAGTACTACTATCACTTTTTCTACTACTACTACTACTACTGCCTCTGATATGTGTCATATTGTGCTTGATCGTACCACCACTTGAGAGCGAGCTCGAGCTACTACGATCATGCTGTAACACCATTATAGCGTCAATGCTGCGACGAAGCGTATGAAATATTAGATTATATGTAATAGGACAGGATTTTTGATTGAGGCGATCTGATATTGGATAAGTTGATAGGAAAGTATGCAGCACAGAAACTCTACTGCGAAGTAGATGATTTGTATCAATATGTACGAAAGAGATGCATCGCGTATATAATGTTAGCGGGCAAGTTGGATTATAATCAAGTATATAATATATTTAAAACAATGAGATCTTGAATAATGTTATCAGTTTTAACCAGTGACCACGTATCATTTTCCTGTGCTTCTAGCTTTGGGAACCAGTCAGTCAGTCAGTCCACAGAAGCAGACGTGAATCAGTCCACTTCGAAACAATGTCGATGACTACAGATCTTACTACCCGTTTAGATAAACTGGAGGTGACACAACAGCAACATGATGCTCGTTTGGCGCACTTACAGACACAGTTAGAGACTGCTAAACCCGCGCGTGAGACGTTTTACCTCACGACAGCAATCCATTATACAAATGGTTTACCACACATGGGTCACGCCTATGAGAATGTATGCTCCGATGTAATATCCCGTTATCATCGTGTATTTGGTCGTGATGTGTATTTTCTCACGGGCACCGATGAACATGGTCAGAAGATTGCACAGACAGCTGAAGCCGCTGGTGTGACACCTCAGGAGCTCGTAGACAAGTATGCAGCTAACTTTCAGCAACTTACAAAGGATTTGAACATGAGTAACAATAATTTTATACGCACCACGAGTGATGTGCATAAGAAGTTTGCCCAGTGGCTCTTCCAACGTGCACTTGACAGGGGCGATGTGTATCTTGGTAATTATGAGGGATGGTACAATGTACGTGAGGAAACTTTTGTCACTGAGACGGAGGCACAGCTTACGGACTATAAAGATCCAACAACCGGCACACCTTTTAAGAAAATGCAGGAGCAGTCGTATTTCTTCAAAATGTCCAAGTATCAGGATCGCCTGGTTAAACACATTGAGGAGAACCCTGAATTCTTGCAACCAGAGGTGCGTCGTCAAGAACTGCTACGTCGTCTTAAGGAACCGCTCCAGGACTTGTCAGCTTCCCGTAATACATTTACTCACGGTATCCCTCTGCTCAGTGACCCGCAGCACGTCCTCTATGTGTGGTTTGATGCGTTGGCCAATTATCTGTCAGCCATTGGCTACCCGGATGGCCCGGACGCTCGCTACTGGCCTGCGGACGTGCACATTATCGGCAAGGACATTACGTGGTTTCACTGCGTCATCTGGCCATGCATTCTGATGAGCACGGATATTCCGCTGCCCAAGCGAGTGTATGCTCACGGCTTTGTAAACGCCAAGGACGGTTCGAAGATGAGCAAGAGTATTGGTAACGTTATTGACCCGTATGAGATGATCAATAAGTACGGACTAGAGTCGTTTCGCTACTTCATTGTGCGTTCGGCGAAGTTTGGCCAAGACATGCCCTTCTCCGAGGATGACCTCATCAACATCCACAACTCGGAGCTTGCGGATACCCTGGGCAACCTGGTGCACCGCACTGTCAACATTTGCAAGAAGTATTCGAGTGGCGTGGTGCCCGATAGCAAGGCGGACAAGCCGTTTGATATCTACCAGTTGCTAAAGTACTCGGAGGATTCGTACAAGGACTTCTCGCTGCAGAACGCTTGCATTGCAATCATCAATGCTGTGAAAGATACCAACAAATATCTGACGGAAAAGGAGCCGTGGCATATGAGAGAGACTGAGCCACGCCTCGTTGTTGTCCGAACATGCCTCGAGGCGATCTTCGTGCTGGCCCATTACCTGATGCCTATTATTCCGAAGACCTCTGAGGCAATTTTTCAAAAGCTCGGCACATCGCCTATTACGCTGACGGCGTTGTCTCCGGATTACGACAACTTGAACCCTGGTGTTGAGGTTTCGATTGGCAATATTTTATTCAATAAGATTTTGACTGAGGAGGAGAAGCAGAAGCAGAGCGAGGCAGCAGCTGCAAAAACTAAACCTGCGGAAGCCAAGCTCGCAAAAGCCGCTACGCCGTTGTTCGCCTCGCTAGACATCCGCGTTGGTGTCATCTCCAAGGTATGGAAGCATCCGGATTCAGAGAAGCTGTACTGCGAAGAGATTGACATTGGTGAGGAAAAGCCCAAGCAGATTGCTTCGGGTTTGCAGGCCTTTTACTCTTTGGAGGAGATGCAGAACCGCAAGGTGCTTGTGCTGCTGAACCTGAAGCCGGCCAAATTAGGCGGCTTCAAGTCGCACGGCATGGTACTTTGTGCATCCGACGCGACCCATGTAAATGTGCAGCTCGTGGAGCCTCCTGCTGATGCCATGGTGGGTGAGCGTGTAACGGTGGCGTCGGAAAGTGGCGAGCCGCTGTCTGCGGCGCAGATTAAGAAGCAGAAGGTACTTGAAAAGGTTTCACCGGACTTTATAACGGACGACAAGTGCGTGGCAACATACAAGGGTGAACCGATCATGACTTCTATCGGCCCGTGCACCGCTAAATCTCTAATTAAGGCGTATATTAGCTAGTTGTTGAGCAATTGCCGAATTGACCTCATCGCTAGAGTTGAAAAGCGAGTAATAAAGTAGAGATGGCAAGTATAAATTGATGTCATCTTCGCCGAGCCATTAATTTATGTATACCGGAGACGCTAACGGGACAATTATCGATCGGTCTCGTGTCCATCGAGACCGTCTGTTCTTTCCTTATCCAGCTTATAGTCTCTTTAGCCAAATATTCGTTGCAATGGGCAATGGTTGCCTCCAAATTTGCGTTGTCTTTCTCTTTGGATACAGCCACGTTGTCGTGACGCATATAAACAGACTGGGTCAATGCACTTGGACCGAACGGGGTATAAACGCAATTACAAGCATGCAGTTTGCAAGCAACAAATTGTGGCGTCCAAGCCTTTATATTTCCGAATGTTATGGAGTAATAAAGACCACTTCTAATTGTTTTTTGTAAATCTTTATTTGCATTAGATACACATGTCGATGTAGTATATATTTTTCTATGTCGTTACGATTAGATAATGTGTGCTGCGAATATGACTTTTTTCTTGTTAGTCGAATCTTGTCGTTGTCTATTTGAGTCTTTGTCGAGCCTGCAATTAATCAACATATGAAATAGGCAAATGTTCTGAGGTACTTGTTCAGATCCGTACTTGGCTCTGCTTTGCTCTCTCTCTTGGTATAAAGTAAGTATACTATTGGTTATACAAGTCTTAGCCCATCCAGCAAATGACTGGCTTGATTCATACAGACAATATTGTACCGTATCGCCAATGTCTCGAGCAGGTCGGGGAATCGATTCTCACTTCTCATTCAAAAAAATTGTCCTCACTACACAATCCACTGCCTTCCGTCCACCCTCATGTGTGAGGCTCTTGCTGCGAGCCTATTGCGTAATAGTTCTTGTGCAGAACAACCAGATGTCGTCAGGTCACCCGCCGATCAAACTGAAGCCTTCACGAAAAGGCGCTTAAAAGGACAGCAGTTATTAAAAAGACAGCAATGAGGAGAGGGGGCCGTCTCCTGCTCGTTTAGAGGTTACCGAAGACTTGGTTAAGACCCTTCATTTCATCGGAGACAATCTACCAATGGAAGACCTTCCAGTGGACCATATTTTCGATATGCTAAGCAGCACCGTGAAAGACGATTTTTTAACCACCTTGACCTGGAAGCCTTCGACCACCTTAACCTAGAAATTTTGGACCACATTAACCAGGAAAGTTCGGACAAACTCGAAAGTTTGAGCCACCTTACTCTGGATAGATTGAATGACTTCATTGATGCCATCAAGTCGTCGCACACTGACAGCCTAGCCTCGCTTTCGCAGACGTTTTTAGCCAAGCGCAAGCACACAGATCTGCTCCAGATCATTGCTGTTATGGAAAAGGTTCGTGCTGGTGAGATAAAGGGCAGTACCCCAGACCAGAATGCCATTGCTGAAAAAAATTGAAAAAACACTTATAGCACTGAAGACGTGGTTAGATAGACATCACCTTGCATTCAAAGTGATGAAACATGTGCGCGACAAAGATCCCTATGTTTAAGAAAAAAACAAAGAGACAACCGAATGGATCCAGTATATTAAATTCTACAACGAACTAAACCGTGGTTATAAGATTACGCCCGCGGAAACCATCAGAACGCTCTATATAATGATAAAGAACTGGTTCAATGTGTTAGCCGTTTGTCCAAGGATACTACTACCGGGCCAACAAAGAAACAAGAGCATTGGTTAAGTTTGAAGATACATCCTGTCGAAGTCTGCCGCAAGATTGGGCTTAACGAGCCATTAGAAACTTTTTACAGGAAATTATTATTTACGTAATCGTTTTAGGAGCATGGATCTTTCGATTCCAATTACCTCGGTGAAAAATTAACCTTTCGCGAGGTGTTCCCGTATGAGAACAAACAGTTAGTGACGATGCTGTTTTACAAGAAAAAGAATGCATATCACGCTAATTCTGAAGCAGAAAAACTGCTACACCAGGTATTCGATACATTGCCCGATCCGGATGATCGTCCAGCCATGGTTTACGAGCTTCTCAGTCTTAATAAAGGGGGACTCAAGAAAATAATTGAGAGCGTTCAAATGAAGGAATGGCTAACGTACATCGCTCTGTGTAACGGGGTTACACGAAGGTGTGTACTTTACATACACACCTGCCACACCAATGTGGTGTACCTGGGGTACAAAGTAGGTGATGTGACCGTACCTGAAGTACGACGGGTCACATCGTGGCAGAGAGCCACGTGGTCACTATATTTATTTGAAGTATAGTGACTATGCATGTTTGCACAATAATAAAAGGCTATAGAGCCAGTAAATAGTGACTAGCACTAAGTATAGGATAGGTGCTTCTAGATTTAGTGTTAGAAGATAAACATAAATATAAATCAGTTTCAAACCTGCACTAGTTGCTAGAGCGTTCTATTCCGTATAGAAATTGTATCTTTGATACTAGTCTCTCTGAGACTCGGTTGTTAATACCGATAGGCACAAGCTTACGAGCTAGCCATGGGGGTTAAGCACCCTAAGACGTAGAAGCTCTCTGAGCTTGTCTTCCTCTGCACATAGTGCATACGTAGCTTTGCTACAGTAGTCTGACTACTTCTTCTGCCATCTGTTCATAGTGCATAAGTAGCATAGCTACAGTTGCTCGGATACACCTGGTAGCACTTGTCGTCAATCTCGCACCTGGGTTTGCGACTACTTCTCTGTGTGCGAATGGACATCGATGAGATGTCAACGGTTGTCCTGTCACAGGCACAAAAAGAAGGGTTGCAGAAGCTGCTCCCTATCCTTGGCCTTAAGAGCGTAGAATACTTAATGACCAAAGGCTAAGAAGAGGTTTACAAGCGTATTCTTGATGAATATAACAACGCGCTAGTCGAGCATGTATAGGCGCATATGCCTTTTTCTGCGCCTTCGCCCATGGCGGCTATGGCACAAGAAGTGGTCCGCAGACCAAAACACATGCAAATGGTAGTCGATAAGTTCGACGGCAAAGAAGGTGACAACCTTATGCTTTGGTTCAGAAAGGTTGAGTCGGCTATATATATAGCCGAAATCACCTATGAAGCGTACGAGATTTGCCACGGGTTATTTGGGTGGCTTAGCCAAGTAATGGGCATTCACATGTGGTACATCACTGCAAGATGCTTTTCCCACATGGCCCGATCTGAAAGTTCAGCTGACCCGGCAGTATACACCGCCAAACCAAGCACACCGTAATCGGTCGTGGTTTTTGGCGTGTCGCCAAGGCAAGCGTGAGCTTGCGGCATATGTACAAGAGTTGAGAACTCTCATTGCTGTCATGGTCATAGACCCTATGCCTGAGGCAGTGACCGTCACGGTCTTCATGGAGGGCCTCCGAGTTGGCGTTGCCAGAACGGAATTCTCCCGGGTAAACCCGTCCTCATTCGAGGAAGCTGTTGGAGTGGCCTGGAATGCCGAGATCAACTTTAAGGCCGCTAGGCCTGCCGCTTATAACTACTCGTCTGATGGGTCTGTATTCATTAACTGTAAGTTAAGTGGAGGAAGAAGAAGCTGAGCTTCGTGCTGCGAAGAAGCAAAGGGTGCGCAAAAGTTATATCTGCACGGGCACAGGCCGTTGGTGTCAAAATGCCTCACAAGAAAGAAGTATTCGGCCTCGAAGGGCCGACGCCCCATGGGTAAACCTTCTGATTTGCCGCGGGGAAACGGCGGAACCCAGTAGGCGTGGGGCTTTTCCTACTGGAGAAGAACTGAGTTCTGTTGAACCTCTACGAGGTAGAATGAAACAAGGTCCAGCTTCAAAGAGATCCAAACTCTCAAAAACGGAACGAGAATGCAAGCTAGGCTTTCTAGTCGTTGAGGGAACGGTTATGGGCTATGATAAGCCATGGATCATTTTGATCGATTCAAGGGCCTCTGCTAGGAAGCAAAAGCGCTTTTGGCGCCCGAGTCGGTCAATATGTTGGATGTTGGAATATCCGACTTTGTAGACACTGTAAGTGTCGAGGGCAATCGTCCTGGGCGAGGCTCAAGGTATGTCGATAGTGTGGTTAAGACCCACTAGATGATACATATGACAAGTGTCATGAGAATGATGTTACATCATTAAACACCGTGAGTGGTATTGGTGGCTGCAAGCCAAGATGTCAGGACGTGAGTCCAAGTGACATGGGTGACGAGGAACTAACCCTAGAGGACCGGGTGAAGTCACAAATGGATGTTGTCTTTGAGGACAACGAGGTGCATGAACCTAGTGACGAAGCATTGACCAAAGAGAGTGAGGTGAAGTCAGTAAACGAAGTGGTCTTTGACCTTGAGGTGTTTATACCTGTGGAAGCTGGTGCGTCGGATGCTGGGAGCATCATGAGTAGCGATGATGATATCGTGAGTGACGGTGATAGCGAACAGCTATATACACTCGTCAATGGTTTGACTGGGGATGTTGAAAAACCGGTGGCTCTTTCAGCTATACCCGCAGTAAGTGCTCTGTTAGAGCTGAACGAATTGTCCTTTGCCGAGTTTGGCAGTGCCTTATAGGCAGGCGACATCGCCGAAGTGGTCGTTATACGACCTGTGGAAGAGCTGAACTCCTCATTGCTTTTGGATAAAGCAGTTCTTGAGGATACCAAGAAGGCGCTGAATGCGCGCAGTGAATCACAGATCCTGAAGGATCCATAGAATCCTTACTTTTCGTTGTTGAGGAATATGGAGATGTTGTCTCCAGAGAACCTCCGACAAGGTTACCTCCGGATAGAGGTGTACGTCATGAAGTTGACTTGGTTCCAGGTACCAAATACTGTGTGACGCGACAGTGGCCGCTGCCACAAGAACAATGTGACGTCATTGACGAGTTTTTTCGTGCGAAGCACGCGGCTGGCATGGTGCGTGAGAGTAAGTCTCCTCACTCTACGCCCGCGTTTTGTGTGAGAAAGCCTAATGGGAAGTGGCGAATAGTGCATGCTTATAATAAGAATGCAATTACTATCCCGGCTCAAACACCGATTCCTCGCAAGGATGTTCTTTA